CAAGCAATTCGAGTGATGTCAATCATACCAAGGCTCTTTGTGAAGGCCCCCCGCCAACAATCAATCAGCTCATCGCCATTTCATCATTCCCTTCCTCCTTTTTGGGACCCCAGAAATACCCACACCAGTCGTCCACATATAAACAGGATGGATGTTGTCGCCTCCCACATCTCTCTTTCTTCCATCATTTCACCCTTTGATTGCTGGCACCTTGAAAGTCCAAGTTGATGTGAGTATCATTATGAGTGGCTTACTTTGTGAGTGATCCTGTGCTTACGATTGTGATAATCTTTAGCGTTTCATTGTTATCCTTCTTTCATTGTCATTGTGCTATTTGGTATGACACCAAGGTAATTTCAATCATCATGTCGCTTGATAATGCATCCACTCATTCCCCGTTTCTTATAGCTATCTTCCAGAGATTCATACCCAGACTTGGATTAAGCGGCACGATCTATTTACTGCAGCATGCATGGTGGCGATATAGCGCGTTCCTCCATCCTCGAACCAGCTCTTCGTTGTCATTCAAGATTCAATGACCATATCTGCTATGCCAAGAATCCCATATCTGAAAGATGTCAAGGTGCTATCGCGGCAATCCACTCCAACCTTTGAAAACCAATGTGCAAAGCAGCAGAAGTTGTCTTCGCATCGGCAAGGAGAAGAGGTAGCGATCAGTTACTGAAGAACAGACGTTATCACCCCAGCAACATCCTAAGGGTTGATCACACCAGCTGGAATTATCCTCCCCTTGGCAGGGTGAAGAATTCACAATTGATTACCAAGGTGGTGGAATGGCTAAGGCAGCCTCAGCAAAGGGCAAGTTCGCTTGCCATTGCGAATCACACAAGTGCAGCAAATGGATCCATAAATAGATGGTCATATATATGGGTCGCTCATGTACCGGTGTTTGACTACGAATCATCCTTACATTGCTGGGATTATCGAAGGCACTTGCACAAAAGGGCGAGAAAGATAGAAGAAGTTCCACGCATAGCTCATTGATTACGAATAAACTTTGCGTTTGTGCTTTGTATAATTCTTGCATACCTTAACTCTCGACAATACTACGCGCGTAAAGTATTTATATAAAGGAATGTGTCTTGTATTTATGGCTATATACGCTTTGGATGATGATTTTCGCAACTAGCATACGCCACAATGGGACATCACGTGTTGTCCACCCCCTACTTCTAATCGCAATGGGGCTATGGTAGGTATCATTGTTAATGACAACAACGCATTTAAGCTTACACCAGCGGATAAACGAAGATAATGAAATCGTCACATTTGAAGTCGTCGTCAGGTTGAATAATTGCTCACTATCATTTGCCTTTGAAAAGGAAAGCTATAGAAGTTCTTGGTTTTATTATGTACATATGGGTGCACAAATCAATATACATTCAAAAGGCCCGTTTATGGATCCAATTGTAATCTAAAAGTCGTTGTAATGTCCATCACTTGACGCTGACAAAATGAAGTAATGATAGTCATGCTTGGTTCGGATACTTCCATTTCCCTTGCTGATTACTCCTGCACCAGCCATGTAAAATCTTCGAATCCTCCATCATCCGGATGAACGACTTGTACCACCAAAGGTCTGTAAGCATACTCCAGGTGCCTTACACAACTACTAGTCACCATCTATACGCATAGTCCAATCCTTGTGTCATCACGTGCAATAAAAGCTTCATACCGGAGATGTTGCTTTGGATAAGAGGTCCACTGGATGAATGGCTCCACCATTGTGTGCGTGCTATGGATGATGGTGTCATTGTTCTCCAGAATAAAGAATTGAATGGGGCGAATGATGGTTCATTTGTGTGGAAGCTGTAGTGTGGTAAGCTTTGTCTCGGCATGTGCACGGAATGCAATCATCCTTGGTCGAAACGATTGTAACCCATATGACGGTAACCAAGCATTGTCAACAGTATCCTCCAGTAACGATCCCATGAGTCGTCCACCATCATGCAATGCTGTCATTGTTGAGTGTTGATGCAACCCACCTCAAAGGTAATACATAACCCTCCAAGTCCATCCACAATGCTGATAGTGCTTTCCATCCTGTGTGGTTGCTGACGAGATAACCCTTGGTCTAACAATGAATGATGATACTTGATAAGGTTGACGTATTGACGTTTCTCAAGCAAGATGTTGTAGCTCTTTGATGGCAGAAAAAGCACGGCACTCATAAATCCAAGTTGTATAGATCCACGTCCTTTGTCCCCTTCAATCGCTATTCAGTCATATGCATGTTCGTTACCATTCCTTTTACCCAACATCTCCCGTTTCATTCCCTTGTTTACCTTGAATAATGGATGGTTGTAATACGACAACCTAATGGAGTATTTGGATAATGTTGCATGAAGGTAACGATGATGACCAAAGGATGACATGGTTGTGGTGTAGTAGTAGACAACGCTGGTTCGGATAACGGTCAACGTGCTGCAGTATCGCCCACCTCTTGCAACTCTTTTGTGTCGTCATCAACAAGCATGACAAGAATGGCGAGCAAGGGCACAGTCGTTTGGCTGCTGATTGGGGAATGGGAGGCGGTGACAATTGCAAGTTGATGGTAGCAAGCGCCATGACGTGTTGGAAGAAATGGTGGAGGAGAGAGAGGAAAAGAGAGGGGGGGAGCGACGTTGCCAAGGAAGTCGAATCCAGCACAAAATGGGATGCTATGTTACACCCATCCACATGTCATCTTATGCATGAACACTGATTAGCCTTTTAAACTAAACATTTATTCTTCGTCATCATCGATCATTTCTAAATATATAATGTCCTTGTAAACATCAGCCATGTTTCTAGCTTTTCGTAAATCGACTTGCTTTGCATCATCATTGATTCCAACAAGTTTTCCTTTGTTGTTGTCTTCCGACAGGACTTGCTCGTTCTTCATGTCCTCCATGTAATCATCAAGCTCAGACAAGAAGGTCTGCCAAACTTCATTGGGATCGGACAACCTTGGAATTTTGATCTGGAACATGCCTAGGAGTCCATAGACATAATCCACAGGGTCCATACAGCGTCGGCTGGACGTTTCAAGTGCCACAAATAATTGCAAAAATGTCTGTGCGCTTTTCTCAAAGCGACGCTTGCTGAATGACCTGGTTTGAGTTATCTCGGCGATCCATTCAAGCAGCCTTTGTTCTTTTTCCTCTTCGATAGGTGCTGCTAAATAGATTAGTACACGGAAAATGTTTCCACTATTTCATATGACCTACAATCACATGACCTACAATCGAATTCATTGGCAATATAGTATATAATACATGATGCGTTCATAACACTGTTAAGTAAACCATCCATAGTTATGGTGTTTCCTTCAAGTGCCTGTGTGCCTGTTTCGGCTATAAAGCGCACCTCTCCCAAAGGTAGCGCCATCTCTTGCCAAGTCCACACACGCTGCCACCATTTACTTTGAGAGAATTCGAATAAATGGTCCAATAGTAGGGGGTACTCTTCATAAAGCTGCTTGAAATATGACATCTCTTCACGTGTTTGATCCCTCGTCCAAAGCTCAACGATGTCCTCTTTCACACGCTGCTTGGTATAAAGTTTTGGTATCAGGCCAGGTTCACAATCGATCATGGCAATGCATTCAAGGCAACATGCATAAATATCACCCATGATATCCAATGGTGTATCGGTACGTGCACACAAGACATCGATCCACCAATAGCTGTCAGGATGATCTCTGAGCATTGCCAACAACGGGCCTCGTTTCTCATCTCGCATGGAAACAGGATCGACGGGTTGTCCATTGATGTCATCCACGTATTCGCTGATTTCCTCCCACATGTGCCGGTTGTCTTCTGTGATTCCCCAAAGGTGTGACAAGGCGTAGTAAAAAGATGGAATGCGTGTTGCTTCATTGATCCTTTTGATCATCCGTTTACGATGGTATGAGTCAGTGGCAGGCTGTACAATTTGCATCTTGGCCCCATTTTCAGGAACATAGAGCAGCAAAAAGTATTCATCAGCTAAGAGTGCGTTAAGCCCTTTTTCGAAAAGGTCTTTGAGTTTGTTGTCTTTGTCATCCTTTAGGCGTATATTAATCTAATAAAGAAACTCATGAATATCATCCTTAATGCATTGGCATTTTTGTACTTGCATACTGGCAAGGATCGTCATAGTCATCTGCGTCGCGTGTCATGTTGAAAAAGTGGAAAGAAAGGGGGTGAGGAATATCAAATCGTGCGTCGCACTTGGTAGTCCTGATCCTTCTTGTTTGTGCGACATGCAAGAGATGATCACCCCGCTGAGCAAAAAAAGATACGTTAGCATGCATGAGCAGACACCAAGTGTATCCCATCAAGATTACTGCCAATTGGTGTAAACAGACATTTCACTGATGAGGTCATTTTCAATATGGGAGTTGACAATGGTGAACTCTCATGAATGGGATATGATGGCTGGCCTTTTGAGTCTATAATGGGGCGTATCACAACCTGGTACTACAATATGGTGCCACAACAGGGCACCAATGAAGGAAACCAATGCTCAAGTCTTCATCCAGGTTCAGCAGTTACAGTATGTGATGTAGTTTTTATTGCTGCCATATACATTACAATGACTATTACAAAGAATTACTGAATAAGGTGACCATACTCAGCATCAGCCGAGAAATGAGGATGATGACATGTGGCAAAGAAGCGTGTCTTCTTTGGTAGCTCAGATCCGAACATCCATTGTCAAGCACAGCCTGCACCAAATCCATCTCATAGTGCCCTCAACGAACCTGTGGTACAGCCAACCAAAGATCACCGCCCCTCAAAAACAACCACGTGACCAGTATTGCCAAGCGTATGTGATGCAGAGATTTCATTGTTGTAATTCACACTACTTGATGATATGCATTTGATCCACTAGTTCACGCTGCTCCTCACATCAATCGGTTGTCGTCCATTGTTGTCGCCCGTTGATAGCAATCATAGATACGTCCTGTTGATCTGGATTAGCACCAATCAAGGTAGTTGCCAAGCACCACCACCAAATGCAGTTGGTAATTCATCACCGAAATCCCTTTCAACCAATCTCGTAGATGTTCCTCAGTCGTCGCTGCACATGCCCATGCCATCCCTTGATAACCCTTGAATTCGAAATCCGGCGCAATTGCCTTGATCCAACCTGCTTACTGATATCTCAATGAGTTGTGGCCTTTCCTTTGTCAACGCACCATCCCTTTTTACCCTTGCCAATAGAAGCATCATCATGAAAAAAAGAGAACCTCCTTAACGCGATGCGTCATTGAATAAGGCCGTATCGATGGTTTCCCATTCAAGATGATGATGACTAAACATGATGTCGCTCTCGAGAATAAATGGCAGCATTGTCGATAGATGGGACCAAGCATTCGTGTGACAGGGCTTGCCGTAGAAAACGATTGCAATACGTTCCTCGTTATCCAAAATGCAACATCCAATGCCACCAGAATGCGCAGTATCACATGTCGATATCGGTGCTAGCGTGATGATAGATGGCGTGTCGTTAAAGTTCCTTGTACTCATCCCTTGAAGGCGTAAAGCTTCCACATAAGCCATCATATACCAATCCATCCCCTGTTCTTTTCTACCTTGATGCAACGTAAACGCGTCTTGTACATAGAAACGCTCATTCTTCCTTGCCGAACAATAAAGGAATCCATGGTACGTGTTGATAGACATAGAGAGACTGCACTTGGCACAGCCGTTAGCATACGATACCAAAAGAGAGACCAATAGCACCCCTTACCAGTAGCACATCACAGCAAGGAATGCACCCAGCGACATGTCGAATCCCGTAGTTGTTTCCTTGAGTAGTGTGTAGCCGTGGTGCAGTGCGTCATTTGGAAGAAAAAAGAAGTAGCAATGTTGGGGTGTGTCAATAGCGGCGTCAAAAGAAAGGAAGGAGTCGACAGGTCCACGTTGGCTGCACCCCGACTTTATGCAGCTGCTTGAATCACGTGCTGCCACCCATATCCAGGCAACGACGAGGATCATCAAACAACCCTATTTGAAGTCATCATCACATTGAACTATGTACCTGCCATGGAAAAGAAAAGTATGTTGCTTTTATTGCATGGATAGATCATAGGTCCAATATACATTATTCAAGAAGTTCTACATGCATGGACTCGGCGTAATGGGCTTCACGTGGCGTTTTGCATGTCCCCGCTATTCTCTCTTTTCCGTATTTACCCAACACGCGTTTTCTTCTTCACATTGCTTTTACAACACGACGCAATCTATGCTCTCAACCTTTCTTCTTTGGACGCTTAATGGAGTGACAATGGCAACGTGACATGCGAATACTCGAAGGACACATGCACCAATACAACTTTTTGTTCCACCAACTTGCTGCGTTGCAGCTTTGTAACGGCTCTTTGCATTGAACAACCTGAATCGCTTTGAAGGACTCCTTGTATTGAACAGTAGTAGCGACACGGAGGTATGACATGGGTATTTGGATCCACAACCACTTGTTAACGTCGTCAGGTTGCATACTATGTATAGCACCTCATCTTTATTCACATGGATCATCTTCGCAAACTCCCTTTCTCAGCAACGACAAGATGGTGGATATGGAGGAATTGAACTATTGGAGTGGATTGCTATGACAACGAGAGTGGATATGGAATCGACTATTCTTGAGACGAGACCTTTTACATCACGCATCACTGCAGAGCAAATTGTGTGGATCTCGCTTGACAGCAAGTACCCTTTGTCAATCACCCATGATTTTGATGACTTGAAAACCGATGTTGAAGCACCCTGAGTCTCGTGTTGGCATTGATTTGAATGATGTTGGAGAGGCATTTACTTACAATGAACGTGTGTGTCTCGGTCTGACAAGAGAACTTTCTGGTGGATCGCATGTGGGGAATGAGTACAATCATCCATGAAGGGAAACAATGGCAACTTCATCAAGGAGTAAGGGAACCAGATTCTGGAACAACCAATTCGGATGGATGATAGAACAACCTTCCTTTCTGGCAACTCCACCAAAACAACATCCTTCTTTGAGTGATTGCATGGCTCCACAAGTTTCTTCACAGGTGAGTAAAGAAGACTATGTTACATCATGAAAGCCGTGCTCATTCTTTTAATGTAAGCAATTACAATCCAACAATGGGGTCGATCCATGCTGAGTTACTCGGATGCTTTACTGTACCACCTATGACAATGGCACCATCTAGCAGTCAAGCCCCATGATGTTTCCATTCTGGTTCTTAGATCTCTTGGATACATGCAGATGCACTTTCCTATTCCTGGCAATCATCAACCACAAAGAACAATGACACATCCCAACCATGCTGCTGCTGCTTCAAGCTCTCTATCTCTATCTCTACGTACTTTCTTTGATGGACATTTAGGTGTTCAGCAGTCTTGGAAAGGACATGGTGCCCATTCAAATCAACCTTCAGGTTGCCATAGCAACAATCAACCAATGTAGCAAAGTATCCTTTATTAGACATAAACTACAAGATGAATGACACTGCTCTTTGGGTTTGTGAATTTCTTGTGGAAGCGGCTTGTGATCATTGCTAAATAATGAATCAAAGAGACGAAGAATGTTGATGGTGTTGAACTGATTGGCAAAGAGCCTTGGCATGATTAATTGTCCCATGCAGGATATGAGATAAACAACAACACAAGGTACCCATCGTCCATCTACTATCATTAATCACATGCTGTGATAGAAGACGTTCAAAGATGAAGTATGTTTGAGTGGACGTTTCAAAAAGTGAAGGTGATGGCATTTTCATCCGATAAACACCATACACATGCGATGATGGCTTCCGATGACTTGGCCTTGGATTACGCAGGCGGCTTAACTTGCCATGGCATACATGTACGTACACGCATTTCATCACATCAATTCAAGCACAAAGATCATGCCAAAAAAAGGACCGTTCTTTGACCCTGGTACTAATCGCAAGCATTTATTCTTTGTCATCATCATACGTAAATCTATACAAGTTCTAAAAAGTCGTCGTATACATCAGCCATATTTTTGGCATTCCTTAAATCGACTTGACATGCACGATCCGTGACCCCAGTGATTCTTGCCGTTTCAGAATCAACCAGCGGAAACTCGACGTTCTTTATGTCCTCCATGTATTTGTCAATCTCGGATAAGAAAATGTTCCAGACTTCATTGGGATCAGACAGCCTTGGGATTTTGACTTGAAATATGCCTAGTAGACCATAGACGTAGTCCACAGGGTCCATACAATGTCGCGTCGATTGGCTAAAGGATAGAATCAGAAGCATGAATTTCTCTGCTTTCTTTTCAATAGTATGATGCTCGTTGAACGTTCTAGCTTGGTTTATGTCAAAGAACCATCTAAGCAAATTTCTTTCTTCTTTGCTCTCGCGGCCTGCTAAATAGGTTAGCAAATGGTCATCAATACAACATTCATGTATATTGTACATACGATCATATTCCTCGAATAAATAGTACATAACACGTGTAGCATTCATGCAGCTGTTAAGTAGATCCTTCAGAATGATTGTGTTTTTCGAACCTCGATGTATGTCTCCTTCAGACATAAAACGCACCTCCTCGGAAGGTAAAGCCATTTCTTGCCATGTCCACACACGTTGCCACCATTGGCTTTGGAAGAATGTACCCAAATCGTCAATCAATTGGGGGTACTCTTCATTGAGCTGCTTGAATTGTAAGACTTCGTTTGGGCTTCGATTTTCATTGAACCAAAAATCAGCGAAATCCTCTTTTGCACCCATCTTGGTATGGAGTTTTGGTATTAGGCTGGCTTCACAATCGATCATGGCAATGCATTCAATACAACAAGCGTAGACATCACCCATAATATCCAAGGGGGTATCAGTACGTGCACATAAGACATCAATCCACCAATAACTGTCAGGGTGATCTTTGAGGAGTTGAAGCAATGCATCACGTTTTTCAGGTCGCATTGATACAGGCTTCACTGGTTTTCCTTCGTCATCATACACGTATTCGCTTATATCATTCCAATGATGTCGATTGTTTTCGGAGATCCCCCAAAGATGTGATAGCGCATAGTAAAAAGATGGAACGCGTCTCGCTTCATTAATCATCTTGATCATCCGTTTGCGATGGTATAAATTAGTTGCTGGACGTATAATTTGCATCTTGGCCCCATTGTCCGGCACGTAGAGAAGCAAGAAGTATGGGTCGGTTAAAAGTGCATTCAGCCCTTTTTCGAAAAACCGTTTACGCTTGTTGTCTTCGTCATTATTCAAGCTAATATCAATCTAATAAAGACCCTCGTGAATGTCGTCCCCAATGTAGGGGCATATCATCTACTTGCGTACTTTGTAGGGATCTTCATGTTCATCTGTGTCGCGTGTCATGATAAAAATTTGGAAAAGAAAGAGCGTGGAAGTAACAAATGATTGCCATGGTTTTGGTGTTTTTTATTCCCTGTGCTACATGCACACAAGTGACTATCACACAGCTAAAACTAGAAAAGCTCATTACCTTGCATGAGTAAACACCGAGTTATCTTGTATTCTAATTTCCTCAAAGTATGTTCTAAATAGGCACAACACACAACCTGCTGGTGAGGGCACTTCCAATATGGAGGAAAGGCTTTGTATACGGGAAATTGGACAAAGGTGTAATAGCATGCTCGGAATACGGTGGCTAACCTTCCGAGTTAAAGTGTCGCACAAGCGACGAGGTGACACAAAAGAACCAGAACTCGGTTCAGGTACAGTGGATGTTAATGCTTTACCCTGCATCCATAGCATATGCATGTCACAAAGCGCCACTTATCGATGGTTTAAGTGCCATCGTATTCAATCTATAATGTGTATCAACTTATAACAGGCTTGGATAGCATGCATTGTATCCACTTGGCAATAAAAGTGTGCCCTTGTTGAGTATTGTACTAGTATCAATGATTCAAATCGCAGACTTTGTTATCCATCCTATCCAACACTCATCCCATTTCCTATTACGAGGTATATCGTACTTCCTCATCCTTTATCCAATCAGCCGGCTGTGTAGCCAATAATCACTCGAAAACCAAACACGTTGTGACCTTCATCATCAAGCATAGCCGAATCAAATGTTTCATTGTTGGATACAACAAAAAGGTAAAGTACTAAGCTAGGAGATGGGTTCCTCAATAACTTGCATTGCTCCTCATCTCACTCGCGGGTGGTCCATTGTTGCCACTTGTTGGTATATGACAACATCGTAAACGTAACCGTAGCTGGGTGCTGTTGACCATTCGGGATATCACCACGATTCAACATTCTTGTCAAACACCATCAGGTAAATGCAAATCGCCAACCCAACATTGAAATCCTTCTCAACCGAGTTTGTGGTCGGTCCTCAATCACCGTTATACGTGGTCGTAAACGTCGTTGATAATCCTTGATTTCGAGCATCAATTCAAGTAGCTTCATCCAAACTATCAAAGCATGCTTTAATGGGATGTTCCTTTCTTGACAATGCACCGCCCCTTTTACCTTGCCCCAATGGGAAGCCTTAGGATCCCTTAACCAAGCGTGCTGCTGCATAAGAAGGGATCCGTTGTTGTTGCATGTCAAGTGGTGACGCTCAATATCCAATGCATGAAGTGCTGATACCAAAAGCAAATAGCGCTGTTGATGCGCATAGATTCAAGCACTTGTATGGCAAGTATCCCGCCTTCTCCCCAAAAACGATGGCAACGAAGTATTCCTCGCCGACCAGAGTGTAACATCGAATCTCAAAACAATGCCTTCAAGCGAGTGCCGATAATGTTGTGTCGTCCCGAGGTACATCCGTTGATCGCGTATGGCTTCTACACAAGGCATATTAGACGTCTTGTATGTATATAAAAACATCCCCTCCTTATCTTACCTTGATACAACCCAACATGTCTTGTGAATGAGGTAGTTGAACCCTGCTGAATGTTAACAACGCCCATGATGCGAGCTGTAAGATATCGATAGACTAGCTGCACCAAACTGTTAGCGTATACTTGCAATATCAAGAGACCAACAGCACCCCTCACCAATAAAAGATTCATAGCGACGATTACACCCGGCAACATGTTGAATCCAGTAGCTGTTCCTTTGTGCAGTGTGTAGCCGTAACGTAGTGTGCCATTGGGAAGAAAGAAAAAGTGGCAATGCAGGTGTGGTGTCAAGAGCGAATGTCAAAAGAAAAAGAAAGAGCGCAAGGAGTTCACACGTCCCACGTAGGCTGCATCCCGACTTTATGCAGCTGCTTGTGAATCGCATGCTGCCACCCATATCTTAGCCATGCTGGCACATTGTATGCTAATAAACACACACACCTGGTTGCAGCTTTGTCACGACAGCGATTTATTTACCATATTCGACGATCATGAAAGAGCCCTGTTTGAAGCCATCAATAGGGATGTTTGTTTTGGAATATAAGAGCCATTAGAACCATGAGCAAATTTGACGCGATGATGATTGTTGCAGTATCATGAAATCTACCTTCCATACAACGCACCATGAATCCAATTGCATCTTGATGGAAGCTGTGCCGGAAATGTGCTTCATTTGGGTTTGTTGTGTATGCTGTGCCACCAAAAGCGTGGGCATGCATTTCGGCAATGTTCCGGATGTCGATATGTATGCGATGTACCATATCATCACCCTTTATCCTTCATTGATGTTTGTTGGAAACAAGATCGCTCCGTGATTGCTAAAGTGCACTTCCTTTTAATGACGAATTCTGATAAATGTCGATGCTTCAAGCTTCGCGTATTAAGGTTTTGGCGCATGCCGATCAGTGGCACCCTACGTCATGTAACACATGATATAACACCACGAAAGCGTGATCTTTCAAAAGATGTCTTTTTCTTTCTTCCAGCTTTCTCTTGATGATATCCGGCTCTGATGAGTACAATGATCCTTACAAGGTAAGCATAATCATCCATTTGGAACCATACTTACACCAAGATCCTTCTTAGATCGATATAACTTTAGACGATGACGACGATGATGACGAGGACAACCACCGTAAATTGTTTTTCGAAGAAGGGCTTGGTGCACTCTTAAGCGACCCACACTTTTTATTGCTCCATGTGCCTGACAATGAAACCAAGAAGATGCAAATCATACGACCTGCCAATGACTCATACCATCGCAAACGTATGATCAAAAGGATAAACGAAGCGAAACCCATTCCATCTTTCTATTACGCGTTGTCGCATCTTTGGGGGATCACAAAAGACTACAAACACTTGTGGTACGACGTTGGCGATCACGTGGATGATGAAAATGGGGAGCCAGTGGAACCGGTTTCTATGCGACCAGAAAAACGTGATACGTTGTTACTATTGCTAAAAAACCATCCTGACAGCTATTGGTGGATTGATGTCTTATGCGCACGCACTGATACGCCCTTGGATATCATGGGAGACATTTACGCTTGTTGCCTTGCATGCTATGCTATGATCGATTGTCATGCGAAGGTCATATCACAACTCTGCATTGAACGGGATGATGAGCCAAAGAACCTCGACGATGCTGCTTGGAAGTTTGCCAATACCGGTGATGTGGACTTTGTGATACCTTATAAACAATATTATGAGCAAGACGCGCCACGTATTATTGATTTATTACGCATCTTGATGGAAAGCAAATGGTGGCAGCGTGTTTGGACTTGGCAGGAAATGGCTCTACCTATCGGCGACGTGCATCTTCTCTCAGAAGAAACAACCACGCATAGATGTCAAAACATAACAATAATCCTGGAGGATACAAGGCAGCTTGCAGGAGTGATATTTACGTTATACTATGCCTTTGAAACAGCAAACGGTGGGTTGCATGAGAAGCATATATGGGCATTATTAACATCTATATAGTAGATTTTGAGCCCAGGTGGTTAGAGCCTGTATACAATTGGGTTAACGAGATGGCCTCAACTCGGAAATATAACAAAGATCGCATCAAAAGGAGAAAGAGCGCCCTAAGGTTTTCCTATCTAATTGAGTCATTGAGTTCTTCAACAAGGCGGTGCATGGATCCGGTTGATTATGTCTATGGTGTGTTGGGTTTATTTCGCTTTAAAATCCCAAGGATGACCGATCCAGATGCAGTTTGGCAGCATTTCCTGACCGAGCTTGAAATATATGTGGAAGACATCAAGAACGAGTGTTTTACCCAAACCCGCTTTGTGAACATGATTCATCGCCATTGTAAAAGCGAAATCACTGGGATTAACAAGAACGCGCAGCTTGTCAACTTGCTGACTGCTCAAAATATGGCTGATGTATACGGCGATTTGATAACGATCGTGGATATGGATTAATAAAGGTTACTAATGGCTCCAATTGCTCGTTTCTATGCTAAACTTTTGTCTTTTCGTTGGATGGTTTCTCACTTTATTCACTTCTTCAAGTTACATGTATCTAGCTTACTACTTGTAAAAGTGCTTCTATCCTCATCCTTCCACATACCAAAGGGCTGTATCTTCCAAAGGGTTCTAGTACAATGACACCGTATCCACGTGATCCAATTCCTGGAGGGTATGATCAATGACTGAACGGATGATAAGGTGATGTTGTCATCGTGTCGTGTATATGGTGTTATGCGAAGCCGAGTAGAGCATCCTGATGATAAGGTCTTTGCATGCAAAGGATATCAGCCGTCGCCATATTATCGGTTCCCCAGATACGTTCCCATGCAATGACACAGTAAGGAAAACATCCGTGTTTGAATCCCTCGATAAAGGTGTAGCGTATCATCCAGTCCTTGAAATATAGCATTCCAACATCATCCAATCCAATCCATCCACACGCCTTGTCGACAATCCAAGTGACCAAGTTGTATCCGGGATTCGAAAAAGCCGCATATCCAAAGCCAAGGATGTATTCTACCTATCACCGATAATCCTTCCCTTCATTTGATGCAACACATGACCGTGATGTTGATATATGCTTTCCACCGGAAAAGGAGTTGCTGATCCAGGTATACTTGGCATGACCATTCCTCATCCAAAGAGCAATATGGGTTGATCAAATGAGATGTTGTCGAAACACCTTTAACGTAGCCATTGTGTCGGGTGCTGAGTAAGCTGTGATCAAGTACAAGAGTCCTCTCGTCTGTTCAAGCACCTGGTGATAAGGAAGCATCATTCGAAATGAATCTTGTCGGGTCCCGTACCTTCAACACATGACGAAAAAAGTCAATCATCAGCCTTTCTTGTAGCACAGACCACCCAATCCACCATTTACCTTCATAGCCAACATCAACAATGAACAAACCTTGCTGGATCAAAACTAGAAAACCACAGCTCGAGACTTTCAGCTGGATCATAACCATGTGAGAGGTCATTTCAAGATAATAGGCCATCCATTTTCCTCACCTTGTTTGATGGCGTGACATGTGGTATCATGGAGAGATGATGATGGTGATCAATGCATGGTATGCTTGTTGTTCAACTGGAAAGCTGCTGCATATCATCTTCAACGTGTTGTAGTGCAACGCCAGGGAACAAAGACCTCTTGGAAACCGGTTGCTATAGATCAACAGCCTTGGAATGTCGAGCAAAGACACAATTGTCGGTTGTCTTCGTTTACTCGTTGCTGAATTGTAATAGATGAGTGCCGTTGGTGCCCTTGCACCTGTGTCATGTCGAAAGGGAAGAAGTACTTGAGAATGGCAAACTAACGCAGGTGTTGTGGTGGGGTTGTACACGCCATGGGCTTCCCCATTCAGTCAAAGACAATCGGATCAAGGTATTGGTAGGTTTGACACGATGGGTGCGTTGAAGCAGGACAATCGTTGGCAGCTAGTAGTTGTACTTGAATCGGGCAACAGTTGGGAATGGGAAGAAGAGACAATAAAGCTGGGAGCGGAAGACCTGGGAATTAACTTGATTTCTTTGATGATGGATGATACTTCTCTGTTTGAGTGTTGTTCAGTCAAATCCCTCGGACCAAGAAAGTTGAATGATAGAAATGATGGGATGGAGCAGGACAATCGTTCACATGCATTGTTTTGGGCAACCAAATTGAATGGGAGCAATCAGCTATTAGCCGGCAGTCTTATGTACAAATAACTTTGCAAAATGATTTTTGTGAAATTGGATGATGTTTTGTGTTTGAGTGTTGTTCAGTCAAATCCCTTCAGATCAAGAAGAGTTGAATGATGGGCATGCTGGGCTGGAGCAGGACAATCGTTTACATGCATTGGATTGGGCAACAAAGGTGAATGGGAGGAATGGGCTATTAGCCGGCAGTTTATTACAAATAACTAATCACAAAGTTTTTGCTGATGTTGGATGATACCTCTGTGTTTGACCAAACTCACCTAAATCCCCTCGGATCAAGAAAGTTGAATGATGGGCATGCTGGGCTGGAGCAGGACAATCGTTCGTATGCATTGGATTGGGCAACAATGGAGAATGGGAGGACTAGGTTATTAGCTGCCATTTTGAACTATTCCGTAATAGTGTACAAGAATCATGCATCGCCTGTGCTGAATGACTCAAGTTACACAAACACGCCCTCTGCATCTTTTGCTCTATTATAGTCATACTATTTTACATTAAACAAAGACCACTTCTCATATAGCATCACCCTTACAGCATATGTAAAACATAAAGGTGCCTGTATCTCCAAACTTTACAATCAAACGTGGGCTCTTTAATAGATCAACGTTCTTGTCGGGGTCAAAGGAATCTTGTGTCAAAGTACGAAGTTCATCGTGGGCGATCCCAGATTTCGCAATGTCGCTACCAGCCAAACTGGATCCGGGGCTCAACCTCTTTCGACGACGACCCAAAAAAATATTTTTTGGGCTAGTTGCGACATTGAACGTGAAACTTTCACACAAGGTGCTGTTGGCCAAGCCGAGCCCATTGCTCTAATAAAAACCTCACGTTTCATTGTAAAGTTTGGAGATACAGGCACCTCTATGTTTGTAAGCGTGATACTATATGAGAAGTGGTCTTTGTTCATTGTGAAGTGACTAGACCCTGGCAGAGCAAAAGATGCAGAGGGTCGTGTTGTGTAACACAGCTACGTTTGCATGAATGAAAGGGTCAATGTATAATTACTTTATGGATCATCTAGGAACAGGCATGTATTGCTAGCTAACGGCCACTTTTATCTAATCATCATTGTTGCGAGATCCACTGCATGCGGACGATGCCCCTGCTCTAGACCTTCATTTCCATGATTAAAGTAGGTTGATCCGAGCTGATTTGACTGAGCTGCGGTCAAAGAGAGATTACATCACTCCGGACATAAAGCACGCTCGATGTAGCTCAACTGATGTAATCTTGTGTGAGCGTAACTCAACCAAATCAGCTCGGATCAACCTACTTTAATCATGGAAATGAATGTCTAGAGCAGGAGCATCGTCCACCTACAATAGAATGCGCAAACGTTGGGAATGCACAAAAGTGGCTATTGGCTGCCAACGTATGATATAAAAGTGAGGGTTGCGTACCTTTCATGCATTGTCCCTGAAGTCCTGACTTTTTAGCTGAATTACCCAAAGAGGTCCTTCTGCATCTTTGCTCTGCCAGGGTCCACCTACTTGACAATGAACAAAGACCACTCTTCATATAGCATCACGCTTACAAACATAAAGGTGCCTGTATCTCCAGACTTTACAATGAAACGTCAGGTTTTTATTAGAGCAATGTGCTCGGCTTGGCCAACAGCACCTTGTGTGAAAGTTTCACGATCAAGCTTGCCAATCCCAGATTTCGCAATGTCGCCACCAGCCAAACTGGATCTGGTGGTCGATCTCTTCGACGACGACGACCAAAAAAATATTTTTTGGGCTGTTTGCGACATCGAACGCGAAACTTTCACACAAGGTGCTGTTGGCCAAGTCGAGTCCATTGCTCTATTAAAAACCCCACGTTTCATTGTGAAATCTTGAGATATGGCTGTCTTTGTGTTTTCACTATGCTGTAAGCGTGATGGAGTTGCTTTTTCCTAGTGGATGGTGTCGGCTGCATTAACGGAAAGATGAAGAGCTGAGTGAAACGGCACGTGGTGGTTACACAGACACGTCCTTGACAGGTTGCTACACAAATGGATGATGATGATGATGATTGCCTTTTGTGAAGGTACGTAAGTAAACAGCATCCAACAATGAAGGTGTGCCAAGGTATGCATCACATCTGCATGTAGAAGAAAGTCGAGCTGCATAAACCAATTTGTATATGTAAAAAGATGCATATACATATTGAATGAGTCACTCATCCTGAAACTCAATGGAGGGATCTCTTCACTTTTTCTCTTCTCAATCTCATCCCACTTCCCACTCCTCCTTATTGTATCACAAAAGCCATGTACTTCTTGCATGACCGATAACCGGATCACCTTTATTATTCCACCTTCGAAGCAATAGTATGTAATCCACAAGCTAGCAACCTCCAACAAGCGTGTAATAAATAAACAATGCTTTATTTCATCTAGCTATCTTGCTATGTACTGTACATTGCCACCAGCATCGTCGTAGTCGTCCTCCGTCATCATTCGTACTCGTACTCGTCGCCAGTCGTCAATCTCATCCGTCACACCAACATCCAAAAACACGCAAGTTGAAAAGAATGGGATCTTGCAGGCTTCCTTTTGAATCTCGTTGTCGTCATCATTGTCATTGTTGTAGATGGGGTGATCATCGTAATCGTCATTGTTGTGAATGTGGTAATCATCGTAATCGTCGTCTCTATAAATAAGAAAGCAAGCAAGTTAGACCATATGATGCCGGGAATGATGACGATTTGGTATACCGTTACGCGATCCTCTCTAAGGAAGAAAGCAAATCAGAAGGAATTCACAAACCAAATCACCACCATACGAGCAACGTCGGACGATCCCTTGTTCTTGAGAAAGCACTGCACGAATCACGGAAGGCCAGTTCGATCCATGGCAAGGAAGGACATCACTTACGTAGAGTCCAAGCTCATAGTTGTTCTCATTCATCCTCTCCAAAGAAAGAATGATCCCCAATCCTTCCCATCATTTCACACCTCATGAAAAGAAATCCTCAAAGGGAAAGAACGAGCCTATCACGAGAAAAGCATGTTGGTTCAACACATTCACGAGCTGTTGCAAATCCCCTTTTACCTTAACACGATGAGGACCATGCTCTTCCAACAACCCATCGTCATCGACCCATCAACTCAAACGCAGGCCTATAGAGCCCTGGACGCGTTCCAAGAAGCTTTTCCAGCACACTTGGCTAGTGCAGAGCGACGCAGCAGCCATTCGATACAGGCTGGGACTTGAACCCAAAGGGATGATGATGATGCCCCAAGTTGCATTGCCTGACCAAAGAAACCTATTCAATTCATTATTAGCACACACGTACAATAAAACGCCTCTTTTCATTGTTTGTTTCATTGCACTTGCCTTTTCCATATACACAAAGACCCGTTGTTGTTGGTTACTGGAAACAGACCATGGTGTAGTATAGTTGAGCCGAAACAAAACGCCAAACCAGCCAACGTCTTGAAACCAAACTTGCCCTCTATACAAGCTGACACTTCAATGGAACCAATTCGGCTGCAACATTGGACTCTGAATGTACCTGTTGACAATAAGCGTAGAGCGGAAATAGCAACGAGCAAAAGGAAGCAACAGTATCGCCATGGCAACCACCAACCACCAACCACGCTCATTCCTCAGCACTTGGACACACTCACTCTCCCTGACAATGCATGTTCAGAACTACATTAATACCTCACAACCAACAAGAGCACTTTTGATAATACATTACCTTGATCGAGATGTCGTGAATGGGATAAGGAAAGGTGGGAGAAAAAGAAGAGAAGCGTTGTCTCAAGTCGTGGAGCTGCTGTCCACCAAGTTTAAATCCCCTACTGCTATTACACTGAGGCCACTCATCAATTACCCTATGCACACCATCCACCCATCGTCATCATCACCCTCACGATAGACAATAGGTACACGTAAATAAAAGAAATGATCCTCACGTATAGCAAAAGGGTGCGTGCCATTTTACACTTTATGTACATGATAATGATGATCCAACAACACCCATTACCTTACTACCAAGATTAGCTCGAATCATGAAAGTTAAATGATGGGCATGTTGGGCTGGAGCAAGACAATCGTTCGTATGCAATGGATTGAACAACAAAGGTGAATGACAACGATACGCGTTTTGCCAGATGCCATTTCAGCATGATCATTGGATCAGGGCAAGCACAACACTAAGGAAAGCAAAGCAAAGAGATGGATCGAAAAGGTATGTTCTCAACATACTTGTCACTACGCGATGGATGATTGACCTATACATGCAACTCTTAGATCCTTTCACTTGACACTATCAACAAAGAAAGTATCGCATTGCAACACGACTTGGCATCATCCATCATATCAGGCGAGAACGTTACATTGAAAAAGCTATCCTGTTCATTGTCACAAACCCCCATTCTTATTGTATGGTCAACTTGTTCAAATATACTATGTTCAATGGATAAGGAAACATCAGCCAGAAAGGGATATTTATGGTATTGGATATCATTACGGGTGAGGGATGATGGGAAATAAGGAATGCAATCGGTTTTGATCGTGGATGGGGGAATCACAGAAGTGTGGAAACCATGGTAGTAGCTTTCATTTTCTTCATACCATGTCGAGGGGAGAACAATGAGTTGCACCATCGATGTGTAAAGACGCAACTATCACTGAGACATCACACTTTCCCGTATTTGCATATACCAATGGCCATCAATGATAAGGTTTATATATGAATTACTCGTGAATAAAGATAGGATTACCAAGTTAAGACACTACTACATATTAAACTTTGCTTTGCCAAGGAGTAAACCACCGTCCTTGTACTAAAGTTGCTTGGGGCATGACATGTCGGATGACGGGGTATTGATAGAGACCACTAAATGCTCGCGTGTGTTGTGATTGGATTGACTATGTACGTGTGTAGACAATAGACATGAGACACGACTCATCTCATATCTCTTACCATATACATACCTGAGCCATGCATAGCTGGATGACCAAGCCAACAAGCACAGCAACAACAAGGACACCTTGTATGATGTTGGTTTCTCTTGTAACGGTATACGTATTCCCTAAAAGACCCAATAACGTAAGCTTTTCATTCGTTGATCCATCTTTTTCATTTTTACCATGAGCAGGATTCTGATCCAATGTTGCAGTGAAGCAATAGGTGAAGCCTGTATGAAAATACACATCCAAGCCAAGCATCAACATGTAAGCCCCTATCATGGATGTGCCCAGCATATGAAAGAGATAGTCGAGTGCTGCAATGAGACAGCCAAGAATGACAAGTACTACAAGCAATACAGCACGACCCCAATTGGATTGGATACTTGTTCCTGTACGCCATCCTAGTACCCATAATCCTGCTGCAAGCCCTCCTAAACCTCCCAAGACCATCAATGGAATCGGTGTCCATGCACAACATGCAAGGATCAATGCACCAGCAAGGCCACATCCAATGGGTGCTACGAGATAAAGAGTCCATCGATTGGTGCCATAGGTACCAGCTGGTTCCAAATTGGCCAATAGCACCCATGTAATGAGTCCCAATGTAATAAAGCCTACAAGTCCCGATGTTGCAGGTGTCTGAAAGTAGTAAAATGCGCCACGTAGCCACAATAAAAGTGCTGTGCCGATCAAGACAATGGAGCCGATCACCCCTTGGATGGATAATTGGTACCCGTCATCTAGAAAAAAGTCATCAGGTGATGAGGGATGCATGCTTCTCTTATGTACAACATACATACCCAATACAATGGCATTGTTAGGGAGATAAAGCACACCAGGCTCGTCATTCACCACCACAGGGGCACCTATTACTGTACAAGCTACCAGGAGTAATAGTAGCATACATCCTCGTGTCATCGTTTTGGATAAGGAAGAGGATGATGATATAACACCAGCATTCATGTAGGAAAGCAATGGAAAAGAGGTGAACATGGGAAAGAAGAGTGGGATTTTATTAAAAAGATACCTATCGTTATGAAGGCTTGGCTTTTCCAACAACAGCAACATCTGCTGGTGTGAGAGAATGTATTCACCACCACCACAATCATCACCAGGTGACATGTAAACAAAGCACAGCAATAAACACATGCCATCATGATGGATGCTAGTTTTATTAAACCATCATCCACCATCACTTTTTGTTGTAGTAAATGTTTCTGGTAGATTCTATACGATGATCATGTAACTTTATGCAAAGAGGAAGGATGATCATTTGCTGTTGTCAATAAGGCAGTAACATGGTTGCAGTAGTAATACCATATATGGTAGCTGCAAGATGCAAGTGGTTGTGGTGGTGGTGGTTGTGGTTGTGGTTGTGGTGCGGATGATGCTATACGTGGAATTCATTGTAAAGGGATGCATCATCATCATCATCATGGGCACATTGACACGTGCTTGCATTTGAATCATTTTTGTTTGTAAACATGCTTAGCCAAAAAGTGTCATTTGGCAGTAGCGAATCTTAGAATACGTTGGTGCAACCGAAATCCGGACCATGCTAGTGACACAAGTTAGCCGAGTCAGTTGCCTAATTCCGCTTGATGATTTGACATCCGAGTTAAAAAAGTATGAAGGAGGAATAAGCGGCGACAAGGTCGTCTATTGAATCCAAATGGCTCTTTATTCAATTCGACCACTAGCCTAGCTATCCAATGATATATAAAAACAAGGATTCTACTATACGTATTCCCAAGTGGAATGCAATGGAATCGAAAAGATAAAAAAGCCATCCATCGGGGTCGATGTACAATAGTGGCTGTTGCTCTGCGCTCAGAAAAAATTTATAGCCTGGCACCCCGATCCCACATTCTCCTGTTTCCTAGAGCTTCTTTCTCTTTCTCTTTAAACATGTCTGTCGTGGTAAGTCTCCCCTCCTCCCTCACACCTCCCTCAATGCAACACGTCCATCGGTCATGTCCACCATATCATAAAGACCACTCATGACGCGTCCCCCCACTTTTTATAGGGTTTTGATTTGGGCAATCTTCAATCGGTCATCTCGGTGGCTCGTAACCGTGGTATTGACGTTATCGCCAATGAAGTTTCCAACCGTGCCACTCCGTGAGTAATGCAACCACAACAACCATAGCAACAACGTTATCAACCATCGAACTCGACAATTAACATACAACGCTTTTACGATATCTAGTTCGCTCGTGTCGTTTGGTATGAAGCAACGTTTCCTTGGTGAAGCTGCAAAGACCCAAGAAGTTAGCAACTTTAAGAACACCGTTGGCAACTTGAAGCGTCTTGTTGGTCGCACTGTGTCTGATCCCGAGATCCAAGAAGTCGAACAAAAGAACACCCCTATCAAGTTTGTTGATGTGGATGGTCAAGTTGGTGTTCAGGTAAGAGAAAAGATGATGATGATGATGGAAGGAATCAAAGGATAAAATGGAATACTTACAAGAAGGATGCCCTTTTTTAGGTCAACTACCTTGGTGAACAAGCTACCTTTTCCAATGTTCAATTGATTGCCATGTACTTGAGCAAGCTCAAGGAGACCACTGCTGCTGAACTCAGCATCCCTGTTTCTGATTGCGTTATCACTGTGCCTGGTTGGTTCACCGATGTCCAACGTCGTGCTATTTTGGCTGCTTCCGAGATTGCTGGTCTCAACTGCTTGCGTCTTGTCAATGATCTTACTTCGGTCGCTTTGGGCTATGGTATTACCAAGCTTGATTTGCCTGAGGAAAAGCCACGCAATGTTGCCTTTGTGGATATTGGTCACTCCGATTACTCTGTTCAAATCGTCTCCTTCATCAAGGGCCAATTGACCGTTCGCAGCGCTGCTTATGATACTGGTTTCGGTGGTCGTGACTTTGATCGTGTCATTATGGAACACTTGGCTGCTGAATTCAAGGAAAAGTTCAAGATTGATGTCTACACCAACCAAAAGGCTATGTTGCGTTTGCGTGTTGCTGCTGAAAAGTGCAAGCGTGTGCTCTCTGCCAACCCTCAAGCTCCTGTCAACATTGAATCCATCATGGATGATCGTGATGTTAGCACCATTGTCAACCGTACCGACTTTGAAGAATGGGCTCAACACTTGTTTGGCCGCACTGCCGATACCATCCACAAGGCTTTGGAGGGTGCTGGTATGACCGCCGATGATATCGATGCTATTGAAATTGTTGGTGGTACCACTCGTATCCCTGCTATCAAGACCACCATCTCTCAAGTCCTTGGCAAGGAAATCTCCACCACCCTTAACCAAGACGAAGCTGGTTCTCGTGGTGCTGCTTTGCAATGTGCCATGTTGTCGCCTGTTTTCAAGGTCCGTGATTTCCGCGTCAACGATATTTGCAGCTACCCCATCAAGTTGTCCTGGGCTCCTACCCCTGAGGAAGAAGAGACTGAAATTGTCGTCTTTGATCGCAACAACTCTATTCCTTCCACCAAGATCTTGACTTTCCAACGCTCCGAGCCTTTCACTTTGGAAGCTTCTTATGTCCACCCTGAGCAATTGCCCCGTGGTATCAACCCCTGGATCGGCCAATTCACTATCAAGAACGTTGAGCCTGTTGATGGCAAGCCTGTTGAAATCAAGGTCAAGGTTAGACTCAACATTCACGGCATCTTGTCCGTTGAATCCGCCTACACTGTTGAAGAGAAGGAAGTCACCGAGGAATTCACCAACAAGGATGGTGAAAAGGAAACCAAGACTGTCAAGAAGCTTGTCAAGAAGGCTGACTTGCCCGTTGTCTCTGGTACCACCGCTCTTTCCAAGGCTGTCCTTGACAAGTACGCTGAACAAGAAAGCCAAATGGCTTCCAATGACAAGCTCATCTTTGCCACCGAAGCTGCCAAGAACTCTCTTGAGGAATATGGTTATGAGATGCGTGACAAGGTTGAGGGTCCTTACTCTGCCTACATTGATCCTGCTGTAAGTAATGATGACATGACACGATTGAAAAGGATGAATAGGTATTAATCCCATATTTTATGTTATAGATCAAGGACAAGTTCATTGCTGATTTGAACGCTGTTGTTGACTGGATCTACGATGAAGGTGATGATCAACCCAAGTCCGTCTATGTTGAAAAGTTGGATGCTCTCAAGAAGATTGGTACTCCCGTTGTTGAGCGTTACCGTGAAGCTGAAGAGCGTCCTCGTGCTGAACGTGCTTTGCGTGCAACTCTTGAACGTTTGCAACAAGAAGCCATGAGCTCTGATGAAAAGTACTCTCACATCCCTGCTGCTGAAAAGCAAGATATTGTGGATCGCATTGATCGTGCTCGTCGCTGGCTCGATGATCAACTCGCCAAGCAAGAAAAGGTTGCCAAGCATGAGACCCCTGTTGTCTTGTCCCGTGACATGGCTCAAGAAGAGAATGCTGTGGTTGCTTTTGCTACTCCCATCCTTAACAAGCCCAAGCCTGCTCCCAAGCCTGCAGAGGATACCCCCATGGCCGAGGGTGAGGAAAAGAAGGAAGAGGAGGGTGAGAAGCCTGTCAAGGAAACTGAGGAAAAGAAGGACGACATGGACATTGACTAAAGAAGTATACATTGCAACAACATTTCATTTTTGTAATCATCTTGTTCTCTCCCCCCTATTACCATGTATTTTGCGCACATACAAAAAAGCTCACTTTCACTCTGCACAACATTATACACACTTTTTTACATTCACCTCTTTCCCTCGCTCACATAGCACTTTAAAAAAAATGAATAGAAAGGAGTCTATAATGTCTCTTTGGTTGATAGATATCTATACATATACATATGTACTTGGGTATTCTATTTGAGGTGGATGGTTCTCCAATGATGAGGATGAGGATATGGCTTTCTTCTTCGGCAAGGGGTGTATACAATCAAATAGCGATAGGCATCAGCCATACAATGAGCTCCCAAGAGGTCCATTTCATGTGCATGATCGCTGTGCTCAGCATAGTATGACGAGACATTTCAGTGGCTGTCTCGGCCATAAAAACCGTTTTTGTTGGTAGCACCAATTCCTGCCATGTCAAAACGCGGTTCCACCAATGACATTGAGTCAACTTGTCAAGATGTGCCGCCCACTGTTCGTGTTGATCTTCCATACAGCGATCCAAGGAATCATCAAAGTGATTGTATTGTTGATCTTTGTCGAAGCATTGCCTTGCATATTGACATGACATGTTCAGCAGGCGTGCCACACCTGCCAACCAACACACTTTGGATATTACTTCAGCAGAACAATCGATCATGGCAATGCATTGGGTACAACAAGCGTAAATGTCACCCATGATGTCCAAAGGTGTTTCGGTACGCGTACACAAGACATCGATCCACCAATAGCTATCAAAATGGCTTATAAGGAGTGCAATCAATGTGTTGCGCTTTTCGGGTCGCATGGCAACAGGCGCAGCTGGGTTTCCATTTTCGTCATCCACATAGCAACCAACGTCTTTCCACAGGTGTTGGTTATCTTTTGAGACACCCTAACGATGTGACAATGCATAGTAGGGTAATAACATTGGTTTTGCTTCAGTGAACTTTTGTAGTATGCGCTTTCGATGGATTTATGATCTTCATCTTTGCTCCCTTGTTTGCAGGTACATGTAGCAACAAAAAGTGAGGATGTCGTAAGAGTCGTATGCCTCGTCGTGGTTCTCCCTTTTGTATATGTATTGGTTTCTTTTTTCTCATTCGTTTTACTACTACATACTGTACCAAGGTCGCTATGGCAACTGCAAGGCACAAAAAAAAGCTCATATCAATGGTATAAATGAAGGCGAAACGAGATTGGGGTTTGTATCTTTTTATATGCATTAATGCACTGGACTACGCCCAACTGCATAGAACACTAAAAGGGCTTTAGCACGTACACACCTTTTATTTTATACCGAAGACCTATACACAATAACATGATACGTAGACAATAAAGGATCGTCTTTATGTAAAAAGTGAAATCATGATTTTGATGTTGGCATCTTTTGTATGTTGCGTGTGTGGGATAAAGAGGTATACACTCAAATTACCCAATAAGGGAACCAAAGCCATAGCCTCTTTGTTTATGACAATCATGGTCCGTGTGCCGTACCATATGGTCATCCATGCATACCCAAAACTGGCACGCTGCATGCTGCAGCCTCAGATCGGCACACCAGGCCATTCATCCCGAATATGGGAGAAGTGTCTAAACTCCTCGTTACTGTACTCCCAAAAACATTCGTATCAAAAGTGACAAAGCAATCATGATGATGAAGATGCCTTTTGATTGCTGTATGTCGTCGTAAATAATCGATCATTGCTATGAGCAGTACCCAGTTGCACAAGCATAAATGAAAAGTGCTTTCGAGGAAGGCAGCGTCATGACAATGGCCACAAGGTGTGATAGATTTGGTGCCATTTATCCCATCAGCAACGATCACAGCTATGCTCTTTCACAAGGAATCACCCTTAGTCCTGGTGTAGATGTCTTACCATTTTATCAGCTCATGCACCATCTCCCTTGCCTCGTTTATCACTTTTTTTCTTGTTTGTGATGAGAACAGAGATTCACACGCCCGCCTCCCCGTATAAAAGCTGATGTTGTCGCCCCCATCCTCTTCCACACATCTCTTTCTTCTTTGATTGCTTACATTGTCAAAAACTCAAGATTTGGTATGCATCACTGTGGATGGCCTTCTTTGTGATCTTGGCACGTGTACTAATTCTTTATTGTGGTCATTCATAATAGCGTTCCATTGTCGTCTTACTATTACTTTCATTGTCATTGTGATGGTACATGCGTCTATTACTGTAGCAAGTCGTTGTGGTAAGTGTTGTTTCACCACCCATTTTATTATATTTCATTGAATAATACGTGGTTTGTAATGGGGCTATCTTAGCATAAAGAGAGGATTGGCAACAGCATAACCTGGTGGGTGCTGGCGCACGACAATGATCACGTGGAATTTCTTCAAGCATCCTTGCTCTCCTCCTCATTTCCTCCTTTCTCCCGACCGAATCTCGTATGGAACACAACACCACAATTACCTTGCTCTTACCTTTGAATGACGCTCCTGAAAGCTTGACAACAATGGCAACCAAGGGGGCACTCATTGGCTATTGGACAACATGCCGCAATGCTATTCTCTGCAAACGAATCGCCAAGGCCAAGATATCATGTGTACGAGCGCGACACTACACGACTTCGATCTTGCTCTTGCAAGCTGTGGTGTCCACAATATGACAACATCGCCAGAAACGAGCTTGACATTTGACAACATGGATGTCCAAGCTGGCATCAGCTTCCAAACACGTGATCCCACACAAGCTACATACGCCTTCCAGGTTGACTGGATCAAGCAAAAGATTGATACGGAGAAATGTCAAAAGGCTAAGCATCAGTCCCACATAAAACCCATCCGTAAGTTATCCGAGATAAGGCATTAACTTGTGAAGATGAGCTCACCGCCAACTTTAGCAACCAATTAGCAAGGCACATGCAAGAAAATCCAGCAAGGAGTTTGATGTTCCGGATATCATACATTGACACAAGCTATAACCTCAGTGCCGGAGGAGATGTTTCGGTAAGTATTGGTATGGGCAAGGTCGATCGCATCAAGGTTGACTTTTCCGAGTGAGTAACACTTTCAAGATGTAGGTAATTGGTCAACGTGGGATGATCTGGGCGTCATCATGGCCATAGGCGACCGCCAAAAGATGGAACTCCAATGTCAGAAGGGACATGTTCGCTTTTCGGTAAGTATTGGTATGGGCAAGGCCGATGGGATCAAGGGAAAAATGACTTTTTCAGAGTGGGTAACATTACAAGATGTCGGCATTTGTATAACGTGGAATGAGCAGGGCTTCATCATATACTGCGGTACACAGCAAGATGTAACTATATACGAGTTGTCGTGTCAGCCGTTTGCAAGTTTGGATTCGAAGGCATCCAAGATGCAGGCATGTATTATCGGATTGAAGTTATTCTTATACCTCTGTTGAAAGCTAAATGTCTCTTTTAATAGCGTAGAGCACTTATGTCAAGCATCAATCGAGAAAGTGATAGCCGGTTGTTGATGTTGGTCGTGGATTCGAAGATGGTACCGATCAGGTGCAAGTGTAGCGGCTCGGCTTTGGAAAAGGGTGCACTGTTTGTTCATTCAGGTACATACATCTTGTAAAAACGTGTAGAAGCATTGAATACAGCCATAACAAGTGAATGTGATATGTAGGTCTCTCCAAAGGATAATAGCAGTGGCAAGATTTATGGAGCTGAAGGATCTCAGTGTCGATAAGGCGTCATCCACACCTTCATCCTTGGTGATTGCAATGCGATTATGCCCCTACGTTCCTCTTTTTCCAACCGCCATCGTTACAATCTTATCCCACGGCAACGGTGGACATGACATACAATCAAACACCCTCACTATCCTTTGACAATCCCTTCTACAGTATCCATATTTGTATTTTATAAACGAATGCAGAGGCTAATACAATGAAAAGTGGAGTTGGCTAATGATGACACGTGGGTTCAGGTGCTGTGATTGCCATGATGGATATAAAAAACTTCGTTCACATATGACACAGCAATGATGAATATCAACATCGCTCTTTGTAGTATATAAAACTTCCTTGCTTGATTGACCCATAATTCCATGTTGTCCCTGGTGACCCATATCGTCATCCATTGCACTGAATGCTGTCATCTTGTGGGGTATACGTCATCGTTCCTTGTCTCAACATGGTCGCCTTGGGAGTCTGCATATAGGATGTCGTCGACAAACGTGCATGAAGCGTGCTAAAAGGTTACACGTTATTATAATGCTCCTCATGCCCATTGGATACATGACATACATACCTTTCAACTTTGTTCCTTTTCGTGTGGTACACCACAACACGCACGTACAATAAAGGAAGATTGCCAAATACGATGCGATGAGTGGTTTGCCGTTCCAGACTCGTATCCGCCATATCCATCATCTTCTTCTTCTCCAGCATCACCAGCAACACGTGTGTACTTGCTTTATGATCTTGATTGTCAGTACACCAATGAGGATCCACAACGAACGACCCCGTTCTCGGGCATACATACCTTATCGAATGGTCAAGCACCTCTTTAAGGAAGCCATAGGGTGGTCGGGAATATACGGATGACGGTGATATCGGTGAACTGACGAAAAAGAACAATCAACATTTCCTCCTATTGGTAATTCACTGCTTGCAATACCTACGTACCTCCATCTTACTGCTCTCTCGTCCTCTATCGCATATGCGTGCTAGTGTGCATAATAAACTTTGCTTGAAAAATAAGACGTTTTTTTTTGTGGGAGCTATCTACAATGTCATGAGCCAACCACTTTACAGATATACCCATATTGCTTACTCACCCACACATAGTGTATCATATATCATTGGCTGCCCATACTCCAACGGCGTTGTAGTAGTAGTAGTCGTATCGAAAAGGGAATTCACCTACATTCACAAAGAACAAGCAAGCTCTCATTAGTGTATAGACTACAGCATGTTGAACATAGGTCTCCCCATTACCCCATAGAATGAACGCGTCGTTGTAGTTGACATGGGAACAAGAGAAGAATAAAGCAACAGCAACAATGAATCCAAATGTGATAACTCCACCCAATTTTCCCACAGCCATTGACCATGTCAAGCCAAGAAGCTGTCATTGTGCCTTAGTGAATCCAATGCCTTTTCCTTTACATAGATGAATGGATGTATTATTACTACTATGAGTGCTTGTCTTGAAGGTATTCATGATGATGACAGGCCTTGTTGAATGCGGATCATTGAATGGCTAGGATTTAGAGTTAAAATCTTGGCACACAGGCCACCTATTGATAGCGTAGATGTTCCTATCTACTTGCTTGCTTCCTTTCTTAGCTTCATCATCATCCCCCCCAAATGCCTACATTTTCTCAATTGATGCTATATGTAATAGCGTGCATTGTTTTACCTTATAACGTGTGCTACAGTTTTAGGAAAAGCGTGTCGTGTGTAAGGAGATGATGCTCTTGTTTGGCTCACTCGTCTGATCCCCCCCTTTTTTGGCTTAGTGGTTTCACAGCAGTTATACCGTCATAATCATCTCTCTTCCTCCCCCCAAATCAACATCACCACCGCCGCTCCAAAAAGTCAGCCAAGCTTTTTCGTGTGCCTTGTCTTTCTGCAATCAATCCGCGCGCGGCTGTCCGATCGAGGCTATATAAACCCCTTCATCCGATGGCAGCTCCCCCATTACACACAACTTTTTTTTCTACCTTATATTATGATGAGCATGCTTCGCAAACTTTTTAGTCGTAACGGTGACAATACGATCCACGCTGACAATGATGATGCACGTACACTTTATCATTGCGATTGCTGTACTCAACAACAACCACAACAACAACCAAGACAAGTGATCGTCGTGGCTTCTCCTGAGGCTGTGGCACGCCATTTACAAGACCCTATGCGGATGGGCCGTGTACCTGATGTCCTCGGCAGCTTTGTTGATCCCATGGGTGGCCGTGCAAGCCATTCTGTTGGTCAAGATCCTACTTGTACAGGTGCTTAAATGGTACGTTCAACATGCAATTGATCTCCCTATAGAATGCATCACTCATTGTATCTCTATTCTTTAGGCACAAGATACCCCCCCTCTACTACTTGTTTATTTATGTATTCATTGTTGTTGTTCTTTTTTCCCCGTTTCCACACCACCACATCTATCGACTTGTGTATATTTAGCTTGTGAACGATTATCACCATCCACCACACTCGACACTCTCACACACATTTGCAACCGATGTCATGATTATTCTCTCTCTCTCGCTCTCTATCTCAGTCGTTTTCTTTTCTTTCTCTATCCCTTGATTCACCCATACATAACCCTTTTCCCTATCCCTTACCACGACACGCACACACACACACGACCTACTCGACGACACACATTTTTTTGAATGATGTTTTGGAAACCCTCGACTGCGAACGCTATCATCCTGATGATGAATGTATCGATACACAGAGACTGACAGCAGGGCATTATTGACATAGAGAGCGAGAGCGAGAGCGAGAGTGTGATAGTGCGAGAGAGTGTGTGCTATGTACATAGTAGAATTTCATGATCCCGGGCATTGTTGTTGTTGCACGTACATGTTTTGTTTCACTGAGCTTGGATGACAGAAAATTTCTCTTTTCTGTACCTGATTTTATTTTTCGTATCGGAAAGCGATGATGATGATTACTTGCATTTTACTAATGTCACTTGAACGAGATGCCGATGCATATCCTTATCTCAATTGGGGCATGTTACCTTTACAGAAATGAGATCCGTAACGCCATTGAAAAAGATGGTTCATGTACAATGATGGGCTGGGCTTGTCAAAAGCAGAGAGAGCGAAACACAAAATTATACCCATGCAACCCAAACAAGTCTTAGCTGACTTGCTGGTATTGAATCGTTACACCCCCCAAGATTTCGTTGGCTATAATTCAAGGTCAAATGGGCAACACACACACCCCACTTTTGAAAAACGTGGCCCTCTCTTTTGTTTGGCCGGTATTAGTAGCACACACGTTATCATTATGCAGCGATCTTTTTGAGAGGTCCACACAATCTAAATAGGGCGATCCATGGCGGTTTTCCTTTTACAGACAACACATGTCGTGGGATAGCAGTGAGCCAAACACACGTGACAAACAGTATCGCCACCGAGCCAGCAAACATTAAAAATGCCTACTTCATCGAGTGATCATGAAGACGTTGTTCGTGTACCCCTCGTGAACAAATGCAAAGGTGCTGAGTTGGATCATGATGATAAATCAAGAGCGCGGTGGCAACACGTCAGGGGGGAGTGGAAAGAAAAGGGATAATATTACCCATTGACAATAAGAGTGGGTACCCGATTCTTTTACGGGACCCCATTAGTTGCATGCCGATCACACGCGATCTTGATTCTGCATTAGGAGAGGAAACAAGACAAGAGGTGTAATAGAGGAGATGCAAGCACTAAAACATATCACGCGGATATGCATAGCCTTGTTGTTTTGCTTTTATGATGCTATGTATGTGTGCTGTCTTTTCTATCCGATTCATAAAGAGAAAGAGATAGCGGCATGTTCCATGATCATGTATGTGCGTTTGCATTAGGAATGTAAATGTGGAGTGTGGGCCATTGGTTATCTTATCTTGACGGATTTACGCCCCCCTTACACGAGGATGCTCCCGTTCTGGAACAAATCTCTCTTCTGTACATATTTGTCAGAAATGACATCATACACAGGGAATACCTCTTTTATCAAAAAAGAGGTGTAATGCCCTTGTTGCGAGTCCGCCTCATTTTCAATTGTCGCAAAAGTACCAATGAGACTGATTCAAGCTTATTGTCCCCTTCTTCTTATCTCACATCTTCTTCCCACCATGCCCATTACAGTCCTTCCGTTATAGTTTATCTTTATCAAACTTTTTTTTTGCAATCGGCTTATTCTAAAATCCAATTAGGAATATATATGCATAAAGTAAATAATAACGAGTACAAACATCAAACCTTAGTAGCAAGGATCGTCCACATTTTACTACTACCACGTTCCAGAAAATGATGCCTTCTTGGCACTAGCAAGGAGAAAAATGCATTTTTTCATTCATTCGTCCACCAGGATTACCAAGGAGTTGATGTTCTTTTTGGTTGGGGGGAGGAGTAAAGATAATTGGGTTCTGACGTGCGGGGAAAGCACATGGTGTACCACATACATCTTCTTCAACTCCCTCCCCCCACACAAAACCCCGCTCCGTATGCACGGCCATACTTTACCGAGATTCTTTGTATATCACACTAATCCTTTAATTCTTCAACACGCGGACACGCGCGCCTCATCTTTTGAATGAGGATCATAAGGACCCGTGTTTGAGATGATGGATCATTGTACACGAGCATCTCATCCTATATGTCGGCCTTTAATCGAACATGGAAACAAGGGTAACATCCTTTTCCGAAGATGATGTTTCGGCATGCAGATCATAAATGACCAAGAACGCTCATTAAAGTGGTAGTCATAGTGACGCAGCTAACGATTTTGGTGATGGTATGAGTCATGACTTGCATAGGTTATTATTATGTGTGTGAGAGAAGCAGCATTGCATATACACGAAGCGTGAACACCCTATCATCATCATTCGGAATATCATGAATTGGATGCCATTCCATTCCTCAATGGGTATTTTGTGGGCTCAGTAACCATCAGCGGGTTTTGTTGTTTCATCCAGCAGATGTTAGTGGAGGTGGGAGAAGCTCAAGGTTTTATTAACTACACAATGATGGACCAATTAACTTTTGCAAGCTTTAACATGGCTTGTTGTGTGGGATCAATAAGCGTGTTGCCATGGATACGTATTCTAAACATGTCGCGATGATTGGATCTCAATAACAAGAACACATTCAAGTCCAATCCAGCTGATGTGTGTGTGTGTGCCTTCCTTTGGACAAAGACAATCCCATAAAAGTCGTTCTTCATCTGCCCTATTCCGACACGGTTATACAATAGAATGGCTGATACTAGGTATTATTGTATTTTGCTGCAAAACGATCAGCTGTTACGTGATGGATTGTCACAAAGCAATTACGTATTCTATGGGGGTCTCACATGATCAAGCGATAAACTTCAAAAGCATGTACGTCATGTATGTTTGTCAAGAAGTAGGTTGTTTATGTTTTCAACGAGTGCATAAATCAGGAGAGGCATATGGGGTGTGTAATACATTGGATCAAGTGTTCTCGAAAGAGCCATGTGTTCCAAAAAGCGGATATGACTTCCAAGTGAGAGGCATACACAAAGACAAAGACCGGTACATGTACTGGTGAGCTGGCTGGTTTGAGATCCACAAAGGACGTGATTATCGTAAGAACAATCAAGAGGGGGGAGACCTCGGGTGGTGGGAGGGGAAGGAGCACATACGCATATGCAAGGTCATTGTTGATGCTCCATGAAATAGATATGGGCTTGTCCACTTGAAATAGGTATGGACTTGCCCACCTTGCATACCCCTTTGAGAGACCCTCCCATTGTGTGTGCACACCTTTTGACACGCGCCTATGCAATGTCCTTGTTGATGCTCCCATGAAATAGATATGGGCTTGCCCACTTGGGGATGCCCAACTTGCAATGAGCATTGGACAGCCTGGGATCCTCATATCTTGTAACGCCGTCCATATCCAACGTCCTTGTTGATGCGCCTCCATGAAATGGATATGGGCTTGTCCACTTGAAATAGATATGGACTTGCCCACCACGTGACATTGGGGTGGGCTTGTCACCTTTCCTCTTGACGCTCCAGCATTAAGGAAGGAATGCTTGTGCCTTTGTTGTATCGCACATGGATCTCCTGCCATGCACCGGTCCCATCCGAATGCCAAACATCACCAAAGAAAGCGGTATTGCATGGTTGCTAAAAATGCCAAGTCAACATCTTCCATAAAGAACGCATTATTCACTCCATCATACCTTTCATCTCAACCACAAGGAGTGGATTGCGCCAAAGCGTCTGGTATCTTCCAAGCGGAAAAACGCGTTCCAATGGCGGATATGAGAGAGGATGACTGGTGATAACCAGGGATAGATACCATGACTTTTGGAATAGTCCTTGTCGGTCGCTTGTCTCATGACACACCACCTTGTTGCTCGCCATAGCATATCCACCAGGTGAGAAAAGTCTAACACTTGAAGGCGTCGTATATCGAAAAATCTTGTTGTAGTCGTCTTCGGGCTGTTGTCTTGTGGTTCGACAATAATCCATCGCCGAAAGAAACCTCACGACAGCAAACCAGAGAGGGAGAGAGGGAGAGATCACTGATCTGATATCATCATTTCCAAATGCCAGGCCTTCGATAGCCACTGTGGGTGGTGTCACACATTCCATCGCCAAGGGTTGTTCTGAAGCTATGGAATTAGCTTTACATTTTCAATAATACGGAAGCAAATAGATACCTCGTGACATAGCATCGCCATCATAATGAAAAAGAACACCAGGCATTGTTTCTTGGGTGCACGAATAATAAAGAGGGGAGTACGAAACATGTCGCCAAAAGAGCATTGGATTTGAACACCATCTTCAAACAATTCCCAGGACACCACAGGTTGTGTCGATTGTAAATGCCACCCGTTATCAAGGCAGTATCCTCCACGCGTAAGATCAAATCATCATGCTTGGATATCGATTGCCCAGGTCCCAAGATGATGCCTGTAGACGTGCATTATATTAGTATCACCTTCTGAAAACCCTGTAAATGCAATACATACCCATTGGAAGCATCCCACTTGGAAATGAGCCATCCTTTGACGGTCCACCATTGTAGCCATCATGTGTTGACGTTGTTGCTTGTTGACGATGCACGACGAAGCCTGATAATATGAGTTGGCTTAGGTTTGATACTACCAATACCATGTAAACGCGTACATACCATGTGGATGCGTGTTTTTGATCACCATCTTTTGATGTATCACTTCGTGCAAGTTGAGTCACTTGAAGGCGAGCGTTCACTGCAGCTTCGAAAATCAGTTTCAAATAACCACCAAAAACCACTACTTGCTCGTTACCTTTAAAGAGCCTTACAATGCAACCGCTTGTTTGCCATCGTTGGTCTGTAGACAGGTCATTGGACACATGGGGAACGGGCAATGAGTGTGTAATGGGTGAAGAAAAGCGTGTCGTGGGTATGTAGACAAGGGGGGAAGGCGGAAAAGAAAGGAAGAGGGAGATGATCATTCAACTTGGCCAGTATCCCTATTTTTTATCCTCTCCCATTTGCACACGCGTTCAGCTCCTGATGACCATAAACAATACCCAAAGTGTGTATAGCTTATAACAAACAAACATGCCATGTTGTGCCTCTGTGATACAATCAACATCGGATGATCGGAACCCCCCATGGCCAGCCGATCTCGGCTGCATTAATGCACGTGTGGGCATTAACCTCTATCCGTAAGTCATATCGCTTCTCTTGCCGGTTAGCCAAATTGGTGCCAATCAGCCTTTTCAGTGCCATGTCCTTATGTACCAGCTTGGTGGATATCCAAGTGCTCGCTTTGTGATACATCTAGCACCAGCATTGGATAACAGGCAACCAATCCTTGTTCTTGTCGTATTGAAAAACTCCCTTGGCGATGCTTACAATGTCTACCACCAAACCTGCTACCAAGATTTGAAGATGAGCTGTGGCATACACATTGATCGCTTACTACTGTAATAATAAACATGATGTACCCTGAATTTGACAAAGGATCTTAAAAGTATCCTGTGCCGTGATGGAGATGGTTGATGTACGCCATGTTGAAGGGAACAGAATAGTAATGGATACAACAATGAGCCAGCTACAATAATTGTATGCTAGTTGCACACCTATCATCACTCGCATTTCATATACACGTACACAGCAATGATCAAGTATATTGATGACAAGGAAAAGCTATTACTACTACCATTACTGGTATCCTTATTGACCTTCTCCATGAGATGGGCAAGGTAAAGATATGGGTTGGTGATGATGTTGAAGGGGGTTGTTGTTGTTGCTGATCATAATCATCTCGTGGACGTGATGACGGTGAAGGAGGTTGTTGCTGATGCAGATAGGCATCTCGAGGATGTGATGAATGATGATGTTGTTGTGGTGGCTGATAGACATCTCGAGTACATGATGATGATGGCTGTTGTAGCTGCTGCTGCTGATCACGTTCTAAACGCTCTCGTTCTCTGGCTCGTCGACGACGTTCTCGAACTTTGACACCGCCCTGCATGCAGATGCACACATACCCCTGTTATAGAACCACATGAGCTGTCAAACAATAGCCCTATTTCTCTTAACGTTAAAAGGATGACAAGGTATACACCTTAGTAAATTCGTTAATTTGTGATTACAATGGGATCAATGTGTCGAGTCATCGTATAGGATGATCCTTTGTTGGCTGTATGAAATAGCCCATGCTTTATGCAATACCTGTGATGTGTGTAAAGATGTAAACAAACGCGTGTTGTTTATTGCTACTACTAGCTTGAGAACATGTCTTTTTATAATGAGATGATGGTATTAGGCATCTGGCTACATGGTTTTTGAAGAAAGGGTGTAGCTCTCACAGCATAGAAAAAACGAAATTCATACTGCTGTTAGCTATATCTCATCCACTGAAAGTTGATTTGCTTCATACCTGTGGACGACCCGTGTACTTGGATTGAGATCCAATGATCCTTGATCTAGATAGATCTGTGTAACATTATGCACAACCAGCAATGCTTGATTATGGTGCCCTAAAAGAGCTCCTTGTCATACTGAAATCTCTGTTGGTGATGCTAACGTCCACCAACATTCATAAAAACGTCATGTATCACTCATTCTTTGTTACATTGGTGAAATGCGCTTACATTCCTACGTTGTGCCATCTTTTTATCGTTTTGTGTGTGAACTACTCGAATGTCTAAATTCTGTATGCGAAGATAACATGGATCAACCATGTATGTTAAAGCTACATATTTCGGTCCACAACAATTTGCATATGATTTATTTGAAGTCAGCTTGTAAAACTATCTCGTAAACGTTGGCTTGAATGGAATAAACGGGGAAAGCCTTAATAATCGACCACCACACGCTGCAAAGTCAATGAGCGTTATCATCTTGAGAAGGCATAGTGGTGTTGATGAAGTTTTTCAAAGAGTGCTTTCATTCTTTCTTCATGATAGCGCATCTCTTCTTCTATCATACCTGCCCTATATAGGCGTTTGAGCTTTTGAATGTATCCAACGGCATCCTCCAACACACGAACTTGAGTCCGGTTAGTAGGGTAAGGCGGCAGCTCGGCTTTCAAAGTAGCGAGACTGTTGGCGAGTTCTTCGCGTTGCAAACGAGCCGCTACATTTCGTGGGGAGGAAGAAAGGGGTCTTCTTGGCTTTCCTTCAGCATCGCCTTTCTTGGTTGGTGCTGGTCCATGTTGAACTCGACGTCGCTTGCCTGAGGAAGAGAGAGACTCGTCTTGTTCTTGCTCATAGTCTCGTTTTGCAGAAGCCTTGGAATCCTTTTCAATTGACCTATAGAAAGGGGGAAAAGTCAATAATGTAGTAGAGTGGATTAAAATGCGTATTACTTACATGGCGATGTTTTGCAGCAGGTGGGAAGATGGGCGAATGGAGAGAAGAGTGAGTAATGAGAATGAAAATGGATAAGGATGGTGGATTTTTGTCGTCGCATACAGTATTTATACCTTATCGTTCCTCGCAAGAAAAACAAGAGCCTTCCCTCTGCTACCATTATCATGCAATTCGAACAAAGAAGTCTGTGCAGGACCATGTTGCGTCGCCATGGTAAAACCCAGCCCTCCTTTTTTCCCACTCAGCATGCTTCGTCGCTTTGTTCCATTATTTAGCAGAGATCACAAACCGCTTCCTCAGAAGACTTACAAAAGCAAAGATCGTGTTGTATTATAGTTCTAATAAAGGATGATTTCGCTACATTGTTTGGTTGTTGCTATGGCAACCGGAAGGTTGCCTTGAATGATCACCATGTCCTTTGCAAGATAGTTGAGCACCTAAAGGGCTATCAGGGAAATAGAGAGAGCTTGAAGCAGTAAGGATGCGTCATTGTTCTTCGTTGTTGATGATTACCAAGAATAGGTAAGTGCACATGAATGCGTCCAAGAGATCCAAGAACCGGAATAGAAATATCATCGAATTGATTGCTAAATGGTGCTTTTGATATACCGTGCTGGTGAAAGCATTGGAGTAAATCAACATGGATCTACCCGATTTGTTGGATAACGTTGCTATCATTAATGAATGAGTACAGCTTTCTGGATACAACGTAGTCTTTCTTTTGCCTGCGAAGAAACTCGTGAAGCGATGCAATCATTCAAAGAAGGATGTTGTTTTGGTGGAGTTACCGAAAAGGAAGGTTGTTTCGATACAAGCTGCCATCATCCATCCGAATTGGTTGTTCCAGAATTGGATTCCTTATCCCTTGATGCGGTTGCCATTTATGTGTCTCTTCATGGATGATTGTACTGTTTCGCTCATGTGATCCACCAGAAAGTTCTCTTGCAAGATCGAGATTCAGCTGCAATCATTGAACCGTAGCCATCTCACGCAGGGGCTCATTGTAATAAAATCCCTCTCCAACCACTCCTCAGCCTGCAATTCAGACCAAAAAATGATATTACAGGCACGCATGTAAGCAATGGTATGTACATCGTGCATCAATGTATAAACATAGCATCAAGTTCTAATAGCAAGGTACATAAGGAGATCTTTATGCGTCGGATATCATATATACATTACAAACGTAAAAGAGCAGGTTGCATAAGCTATGACTATGGTATCGATTTCCTTGTCTCCATGGGCATATCATTTTAATACTTTTGATCCGGTACAAATATAGTTGGACGTCGCCATGATTTTCTTTCATCAGCAATTGTTTGTGGTGCCTTTGAGCCTTTTACGTTCTTGACCAATTCCTCCAAAAGTTTCTGCATTCTATGTATTAGACCCAATACCATCAATATCCCAAGTGTCCATCTTTGCTACCTACCCTGATTTGCATCAAGCTGCATATGGCTGATTTCACGACCCCAAAGTCAGCTGCTGAGCGTGGAAGATAGAATGTTCGCAAATGTATCATACGGTATACGTGGTCATAAAGTAGATCCATCCGATAGGTACGCACCGTGAAGCCTACATTACGTTAGGACGAGCTTGTCAATAAAGTAAAATGCTATATTTACCTTCCACTTGAATGCCCAAACTATATGGATGATCCACGTGATGTTCGATCATTGCATCCAAGGCACATTTCATCTCGAAAGCCAGCTTGAGAAAATCTCCATTGAACGAACGATTGGGTGCTTTCACCTCGGCCACAAGACAGCGTAACGTTTCATTCTTGTTGGTCGTCGTAGATAGCATGGCATCAGGTCGCAGCTGTAAGCTTTTATCCAATTGTGTGAATTGTCTAAAAAAGCATGGGGTGATGAGTTCTCCACATGCATAGCTCATAAAAAAGTCCCACTTACCCATCCCGTGAACAATAAGGTATACTTCCAACGATGCTGTGAAAGAAAGGCTTGAATGCTGTATCTGAAAACACGTCCTCATCCATTGCCGTAAAATCGGGTCGACCTGCGTATTGAGCCACGCTACACAAAAGCAAGTTAACCTGTAATCATTCATCATCCATCAGCAATACGTACATCGTCTTGAGCACATGGGCCACCAATCCAGTCTCCTTTGATTTGTCTTTGGCTGCCTGAAAGATATCATCCAATTGATCTGGAGCACGCGTAGGGTACAGCAACATCAACTAGAATATGCCATCAATAAAAGACCCCCTTTTTTTTTACCTAATCGCTCATTCATCCATTACCTCTTCAACCTCATTGCATAGTTGTTTGCTTGATCGTTCCAGAAATACAAATTCATCATCTTGATCCAATTCATCAGCCAGAGCACCTTGTACATGTTCAGGAAGCTGGATAAAAGTACGACAATCTCGGCCACCATCAGCAGAAAAGAGGTACGTGTAATTGAGAGTCAACAGCTCATCACGTGTCATTGCTTCTCCATGGTTGTACTTTTTGACGCAATCGTTTCTGAACTTGTTCAACATGTCTGAAATGCAACAATCCGAGATGGACCACTTGTACCACGTGAGTACAAAGGAAACAATGAAAATCCATTTACTTACTGAATACGGAAATTTACTGGATCGAGAAGTGTCGCTGTCTTCATCCGAGGGTGTATAGCTGCTATCACTCTTGTCATAATTCTTGGTGGCTCGTTCACGAAGGCGTTTGTTCAATGCATCCACTAGCACATTCTGCGTTTCCAAAACTTGCTCTTCATGTCGCATCAATGCCATATCCTATCATCGCAGCGTGATGAGTTATCTACTCCTCCACCTATTCCAATATCCTTATTACCTCTTTGTATCGTAAAGTGATCCTTTGTGATATTCGCTTCCAATAGTTGGATCGATAATTGGTTGTACCCATCTATAAAGAGGACATGTCAAATCACTCAGCATGATGAAACGCGTTGTACAAGATAGAGATGCCTTACTTTGCCTTTCTTTTCAAGTCGTTTGCATTCTTTCCTGAACCTGTTTGACCATAAACGCTCCAACTCTTCAGCTGTCTTTGGTGTCGTGTGCCATTCGATAAAGTCGTCCTCGTGCTTGGTTACGAACTTGTTGAAGCTTGGCTTATAGTTTGGCTTGTCACTTGTCAAAAGGAACTTCAAGAGAGCTATTACAACAACGCCATTGAGCACCTTAATGCAGAGTCGAGAGCATGAAGCAACACAATGGCTTACCGTCAAGCCCTTTGAATGTCATTGTCTCGTGCGTGTCAAGGTTACTTGTTGGGCGCGTGTCAAAGAAGAAAGGAGAAGAGGGATTCAATGAGCTGCGGATAAACCTTTTTATGATCAGATTATTATACGGCCTTGTTGCTGCTCACGTCCACTCACGCCTCTCTTTCACCTCCGTGCTCTTTTCAACATCAACAACCGCATTCGACTTGCTTCATCTTTACGCTTTCTTGCTACACATGACACCCTTCCATTGACAATACCAACACACCTTTATGCAAGGTCAACTTTGTTGAGCAGCCTCTGGTTTTCTATACACGTTCTTTGTCCACCTTTCTTTGTCGTCTTTCAACGTATACGTACAACCATGATACAGCACCCGGAATATTGGTACGTCCAGCTATGGTACGTTGGATGGCAACTGTTGCTATGCACTGCTTTCCTTATTCATTGTGATGGTTGCTATAGTGATTCCTCTTTTGATTGTCCTCTGGGCCGTACTCTTGGATGGGTGAGGTGGTCTTTGTTTGGTTGATATGCTATCCTGTCTCGCTCATTTGCCTTTCATGGATCGATGCCAGAGCTTTGTTTTGGGATGTCCTGCCATTCCTCAAGGTACATCACACCGAAGACAAGAAGGTTTTACCTTTTTGTGGTGTTGATCCTGGTATCCTTTGGCCTTGTTATCCAACAACAACAACAGCAGCAGCATCAGGTGGTCCTTTGGGGTTGATGATGGAGCTGTCCTGTCCCGCTCATTTTTCTTCTCATGGATCGGTACTAGAGCCTTGTTGAGATGTCCTGTCATTCCTCAAGGTAGATCAGTGAATGCTGATTCTGGTATCCTTTGGTCTGAATGTTTTGGATCAGCACCGATGTCTTTGCGAAAGGTAACTATTGTGTCGGATGGATGTCATCAAGCTCTATACTAATCAGCATTTGCATTGGTAACTTTGAGATCATGGTGACAAGGTATGTGGGCTGTCATGAGTGATCGTATGAAGTAGCTTGTAGGATGCACGTAAATGAACAATTTCAGGATGTTGGAATAAACGCTTGACTTGGCTTGTCAAATACAACGTATCGGTCGTGGATCAATTGGTATAGGAGGGACGTCGATGTCAAGGAGATTCGGATCAGCGATCATTTTTTGGATGGATCACATCAGCATCACTCCTATGTAATAAATCATGTGAGTAGGGAACAATAATGACGTTAAGGTAGCTGTGGCATCAATCATGCGACAAAGTAAACCACCATCACCATCCCCTCCTGAAACAACACCAACAACGGTCGTTGCCTTCTCAAAAACAAAAACTAGCTTAGTACTTGTTACAATCATTAGATCATTAGAGGGTAATAAATGTTTAATGTATATGAGAGAAAAGCACACAGCGAAACAAGGAACATAATGGGAAGGAAGGGGCTATTAGCTGACAGATCATGAACGTTGTTCTGATCTTGGATGATATTTGTTTGAGCGTAGCAAAGCCAAATCAGCTCTGATCAACAAAGTTGAAGGATGGAAAGATCGAGCTGCAGCAGGACAATCGTTTGCAGGTGGTGTTGCACTTGAATGGGAGTGGAAAAAGTGGAAATTAAGTAGCCCTACTACAAATCCATGTACATTGTACATCAAATCTAGATATTAAGATTGGACCTCTCGAACCTGAAACTTTCACACAAGATGCTCTTGGGCATGCTGATGAAGTTTCTCTAATAAATGCCGATACTTCATTATCAAATATTTGGGTGGTATGTTGTAATGTGGTTCCATAAACGTGTAAGCTTATTGTAAGATCATTACCCCATGCTGCAACAAAGTTAAGCCATCATCGTTCTTATCTTGCTCTCGGGAAAAGAGGAAGGCTTTATTTGCTCAATCCCTTCTTTTCATCTATAAAAACTTCTCTTTTCCTACTCCACGTTGATATCCAGATGCTGTATTTCCCAAAGATCATCATCATCCCAAGACTAAGCACGTGATCCTCATCCTAAAGAATCCAACGAAGGGAGATATCATTGAGCGAAAGATGTACTTTATAATCATTGTCATCATCAACAAAAAGTCATCTCTAATAAATCATCTTTGTATACATCAGCCATATCTTTAGCTTTCCGTAAATCGATTCGGTATGCATTGTCATTGATTCCAGTAATTCTCTTTCCAGAAAACTTGTCGTTCTTCATGCCCGTTGTCTCCATGTAGTTATCAAGTTCTGATAAAAAGTAGTGCCAAACAGCATTTGGATCGTTCATCCTTGGGATTTTAAACTGAAATACGCCCAACACACCATACACGTAATCAGCCGGATCCATGCATCGCCTAGGGGAATCGCTGAATGAAGAAACCAAGTAGCTGAATTCCTGTGCACGCTTTTTTCCGGTTCGATGCTCGTTGGATTTTCTAGCGTGAAGTATCTCTGTGAACCAAGCATGCAGCGTCATGGCATTTGTGAGCCCAGTCTCAGCTGTGTTAGTGCATTAGTAACGCTGATCAATGATAACACAAGACCCCATCCTTCTCGTACACGTCTTACAATCAATAGGCTCGAGTGCATGAGCTACGTGGTCGACCCTGAAATTTGCTTGAAAGTAATCAAGTAAAGCATCCACAGTGATTGTTTTGCTTAAAGGTTGATGCGTGCCTGATTCGGGTACAAGACGCACGTCCCCAAAAGGCAAAGCCATCTCCTGCCAGGTCCAAACACGTTTCCACCATTTACGTTGCATCAATGCGAATACGAGCTCAGTCGCCTTGGACAACCTTTTATCGTTTTGCTTACAATTCAGGATATCATTTCGATCCATATTATAATACGTAGGGAATTCCTGTTTCACATCCATCATCAGCGTATAGAGTTGTGGTATGAGATTAGGATCTCCATCGATCATAGCAACACATTCAAGGCAACAAGAATAGATGTCGCCCATAATATCCAAAGGGGTATCGGTACGTGCACATAGGACGTCAATCCACCAATAACTATCAGGATGGTCTTGGAGTAGTGCAAGCAATGTATCACGTTTCGCAGGTCGCATCGAAACTGGTTTCACCGGTTGTCCATCTTCGTCATCCACAAAGTCGGCAATCTCATTCCAATGGTATCGGTTGTTTTCTGTGAGGCCCCAAAGATGTGACAACGCGTAATAAAACGATGGAACCCCTTTGGCTTCATTAATCTTTTGGATCATGCGCTGTCGATGGTATGGATCGCTAGCCGGTCTTACAATTTGCATCCTGCCTCCGATTTCAGGCACGTATAAGAGTAAAAAGTGTTCGTCGGCTAAGAGTGCGCTGAGCCCTTTTTCAAAGAACTCCTTACAATTATTGCTTTGATCATCCTCTTGTCTTATATTGATCTAAGGGCACACGTGTTAAAATTGACAAGCATCTATTAGCGTATGCATACTTTGAATGCATCTTTATCTTGAAGAATACCATGAGTCATGTCAAAGAGTGGAAAAGAAAAAGGGTGTGTGGATTGAAATTGGGTGTGGGTCACTTTTCACGGTCTTGGTGCATTAAGTTTTGTGCTACATGCAACAAGATGTTGGTGTAAGCTTCTGAGTAGAAAAGGTACATATCATCGTCATGCATATAAGCAACCACCAAGCTGTCCTATATCCATGGTAGAATTAAAGGCGTTACAAGCATGCAAATAATTGATCAGCATGCTGCATGGATGGAGGAAGATCATGCGTTGAAGAAAAATGAAGATGTAGATGACAAAGATTCTCGCATTGCAAACATCGGATAGTGGCACCTGTTATTTAGAGGTTATAGTTGGGGCGTTCAACAACAATGGAAGTGGCACAGGAACCATGGCTTTATTCAAAACTTCTTTATTCCTCCTTGCTAACATACATTACAAATGGCTAAACCTATCCAATAACGCTTCTTGAGATGATGATACTTAACCGCTTCGCCGAGTGATAAGGTAAATCGTGCACAACCAGGCCTGTGGTCCCCATATCGCAATAATCCAATGGTCAGATGTCATTGCTGTTAGCTGCTGTAATCATTCCAAGGTGCTGATTTTGTTGCATCTCATATATGTAATCCCTCGATTGAAACCAAATCCCGAGCACACGCTGCTTAGATGTCGTGGCGGTCATGAAGGGCATGATGAAGCAGCTGGAAGATGGGATGAAATGATGCCGAATGCTGGCCGATAATGAAGAATAGCAATGGGGGATCAGATTCACATCTCCAAATGATTAACTTGATAATCGTTGTCTCTTGGACCATTGTTGTTCTCCATTGTTCAATCAGCTGCCCATAATCGTTGCCATGCATTTTCCACCCCCGGGTCACATGGCTCCTGGTGCTCATGGTTGATATCCTCATCCTCAATCTTGTATCCAAAAGTGGTACATCCTCATCCTTCTTCCTTTTGAACAACTCCAATCAATCATCGTGGTTGCCTTTGCGTATCCATCAACATATCCATTGCGCCGTATCGGCACTCCATATGCTTTACTGAAGCCATCAATCCTGGTAACGATCCCCACCTTGATAATGTAAAATGATCTTCAAGGTGCATTATACGTGGTTGACATGTCGATCCGATGGTCGAAAAAGCTATCCATATGCCATTGAATATCATGTCGAGTGCGCTGCGACCAAAATGCTAATGGTTCCTCGTACGTCGTAGTACTTCCGGATAAGCTAGCATTATGCACAATATATGTCGTCATGTCGTACAGCTTGCCTACATGATGGAAATGCCAATCAGTACCCTTTCCTTCGTAACACATCACCCCCATCCTTTTGTTACCTGGATACGCAACAACAAAAGTGAACGAACCTCGCATCATTCCATCTTGAACATCCATGATTTGACATTATTCTACAAAATGGACATGTGAGACACCATATCACGAGCACTATAGCATCCCATCATCCCTTTACCTTGGCAAATGGGTTGACATCTAAATACAGTAGTAATCGTGCCATGTTGTCGAATAACGACGCTTCAAGATATGATGATATTCAAAGAATCATAGGTAAAGCGCCTGCATATTGTTATCAACATGCTGAAGTATAGCATTGAGGAAAGTAAAGTCTCGCTCCCTCTTGGAGTGGATCGTCGTCAAGAAGCTTTAGAAGGGACTCGAGTACAAAGGCATGCGTCCTTTCTTTGCTTGGTCATCGCTGCATCGTAGCAGAAGCGTCGTATTGGTGCTATTCGTTGTGCCATTTTGAGAAGGGAATGGGTCGATTGTATAGTTGAGAATGCCATTGTCAAGTCGAGGGAGATGCAGACGCGGAAGGAAGACCACCCAGATTGATGTTGCTATCTTTTCCCGATCCGGTTTACATACAAATCCAAATCCCCAAGCCAGATTCATCACTCATCTACCAACTATCTTGCTTCAATAATACATGGACATTAGTCATTCCAAAAAAACCTTTCTATGTCCCGAACTATATATGAAATTGGGTTCCATTTGTAAAGGTGGGGAGTACTGCTGTTGACAACGCTTCTTGCTCGTTGAAGAATAACAACCAATGAGCGGCATTGATGCCTTCTACGCTGTCATGGTTTGACAACAAATCGCAACAAGGATGGAAGCGGACATCCTATGCACCATTCATCATCACTTTAATGATCCAAGGATGATAATAAAAGCATCTTTTTATTCAATCCTGATATTCATGCTAAGCAAAATTATGGCAATCAAACTCATCTTCTTCGATAACTAGCAAATCGTTGTATACATCTTTCATATTCTTAGCTTCGAGTAGATTGATTTGACGTGCACGATCGCTCGTTCCAACAAGTGCTCCACTCGCAAGCTCATTGTCCTCCAAATTGTCGATGTAATCATCCAACTCATCCAAGAAACGGTCCCAAACTTCATCGGCATCAGCCATCCTTGGGATTTTGATTTGCAACATGCCCAGCACACCATAAACGTAATCACAAGGATCATAACATCGTCGCGTGGATTCACCCAATGACAAGATTAGGTCATGAATGGTTATTCCGCTCATTTCTGGTTCTAGACGATCCTTGTTGATGCCTCGAGCATCTGTGATACCACCCAACCAACTAGATACAACCTCGGCCTTTTCATGTAGCAGCGCATCCTTCTCTATTTGGTGACTAGATTAGTAATCTTCCTCGATCATAGATCAGAGTAACTTACCGTTTAAGTTCTTTTGTTCACGACCATAGAATATTAAAAAGGCTGCCACGCCAGAAAATCGGTCATATAAATTATCCAACGTGATGGTGTTGCATGAAGGCTGGTGAGCGCCTGTTTCCGACATAAGACGCACATCCCCAAAAGGTAAAGCCATCTCCTGCCAGGTCCATACACGCGTCCACCAAGAGCTTTGCTGCAAGGTACACAAGGTATCCATCATTTGAGGACACTTTTCATCGTAAATCTGCTTGTATGGCAAGTAGCTATCAGGGTTTCGGTAGTCTATAGTCCAAAACTGGTCAGGGAATTCGTCACGTGCACCCAACATGGTATGAAGTTTTGGTATGGTATCAGGATCACAATCGATCATGGCAATGCATTCAAGGCAGCAAGTGTAAATATCACCCATAATATCCAAAGGGGTATCGGTACGTGCACATAGGACATCAATCCACCAATAACTATCAGGATGATCCTTGAGCATTGCCAGCAATGTATCACGTTTCTCAGGTCGCATGGAAACAGGTTTCATTGGTTGTCCTTCTTCGTCGTCAACGTATTCACTGATATCGTTCCAGTGGTATCGGTTGTCCTCTGTGAGTCCCCAAAGATGCGATAACGCATAATAAAAAGATGGAATGCGTTTGGCTTCATTGATTCTTTTGACGATGCGCTTTCGGTGATATGAATTGGTAGCAGGGCGTATCACTTGCATCTTGTTTCCATTTTCAGGTACGTGGAGGAGCAGAAAGTACTTGTCGTCTAAGAGTGCATTGAGCCCTTTTTCGAAAAACCGTTTAAGCTTGTTGTCCTTGTCATTCTCTAATTTGATATCGATCTTGGGGATACGTCATTATTAAAATGCATTGGCATGTTAAGCACGGCATACTTTGTAGGGGTCGCTGTTGTGTTCGTCAGTGTCGATGGTCATGTCAAAGAGCGAAAAAGAAAGGGTGTGGCAAATTGGAAATGGGGTTTGGGCCACTTTTTACAGCACTGATACACTAAACTTTTGTGCTACATGGGACAAGATGTCGCCGGAAGCCCGAGTAGAAAAAGAAACATTGCCATGTATGATCAACCACCGAGCTGTCTCATAGTCATCCTCTACTTCCATCAATGATAACGTGTAACCGGAAGCAATGATTGTTGATCACGATGTAATTTTGTATCAATGAAAAGCAATCATATTGTCTTTTCAAACTTCGGAAGACCAGGCCTGTTCCGAAATTATAATGGCGTGTATCATAACTAGGTGACACAAGGAATCACCACTCATTGATTCCACAGCTGTGATGTTATCTTTTATTCCCAGCAATTACTACCTTCGTGTTCATTAAAATGGAACATCTCCCAAATGGATCAGGATGGTATCAACGATTTCAAACCTCATCTCGTCATCCACCAAACCACCACCTTTCCAAACTGATAATGGATCCTGATAACCCAACCACGTAATCCTCACCACCAAACATGTATAGTTGCAAAGATTTAATCGACACGACAGAAGATTCATTGAGAAAGAAAGCATTGAAAAGTATCTAGGTGTCACTGGTATCTTGTTTCACTTGGGATTGGATCCTTGTTGGCGGCCATTTATAATAGCGTGTATCTTTTGCATCTTCCGTTCCATGGCTGTAGACCAAAACATCGCCCGTGGTATCCCCATCATTGAAATCCTTCAAATCCAACCTTGATTCCTTAGTTCCAGAACCATCGTAACGTGATCGTGCATGTTGTCCTTTATAGTCCTTGAACTTTGATGCATGGTAACCATTGGTTGCGAAAACAATCCCTCTGGATCTGCTCAATCACCAGCTGTGTATCAACACCCTCATCATCCAAGTAAATAGGACATCTGAAAAGCAAATACATGCTTTGAGATATTGCTCTACCTCCACAACATCATTGTTTTACCTTGACCAATGGGAGCACCATACATAAAGAACCTCTTGTACACAATCGGGGGGTGCTGCTGCTGCATAGAGTGGTATCCATGTTGTTTGCCGAGTAATGATAATGGTCCATGCATGTCGCTCTCAAGAATAAATAGCATCGTCGATAGATGAAACCATGCACCCGACCCACAAAATCATGCGTCCCATGCAAACGATTTCAAGAAATTCCTCGTTGACCAGGATGCGATATTGAATGCCAACACATTTCACCAGCGTATGGATAGTTGTCGTTTCGTCCAATAGAGGCTAGGATATCAGGTGAATAGAGCTGAAGAATAAACAACTGATAAATCTACCTACCTCATCAAGCATGTCCAACAAGATTCATCATCTCGATTCAATCCATCCACCAGAGCACTTTCCTGGAAACTTGGTAAAAGTGCAATAGCCTCGAAACCCATCAGCAGAAGATAGGTAGATTCAACAGCTCATCACGTATCATTGATTCTCCATGGCTGTATTCCTTGACGCAGTCGTCTCCGAGATCGTCTACTTGCACCAAGTGAGTTCAATGAAAGAATCCAAGCTGCATAGTTTTTCATCCACTTACTGATAGCTGATCCGTGCCACGGTAGTATATAGATGCTACCATTCTTTTCATGATTCTTGATTGCTCGTTCTCGAAGGCGTTTGTTCAATGCATCCACCAGCTAACAAGATTCCAGGATTGTCCTTCATGTCGCATCAATGCCATTTCCTATCATCGCAGCGTGATGAGTTATCTACTCCTCCACCTATTCCAATATCCTTATTACCTCTTTGTATCGTAAAGTGATCCTTTGTGATATTCGCTTCCAATAGTTGGATCGATAATTGGTTGCACCCATCTATAAAGAGAACATGTCAATCACCCAGCATGATGAAACGCGTTGTACAAGATAGGGATCGCTTACTTTGTCCTTCTTTTCAAGTCCTTCTGCATGCTTTCCTATGCCTGTTTGACCATTAGCGCTCCAACTCTTCAGCCGTCTTTGATGTTGTGTGCCATTCGATAACGTCGCCCTCGTGCTTGGTTACGAACTTGTTGAAGTTTGTCGCTTGTCAAAAGGAACTTCAAGAGAGCTATTACAACGACGTCAATGAGCACCGGAATGCAGAGTAGAGAACATGAAGCAATAGAATGGCTTACCGTCAAGTCCTTTGGATGTCATTGTCTCGTGCGTGTCAAGGTTTCTTGTTGGACGCGTGTCAAGGAAGAGAGCAAAGAGAGATCAAAAAGCGATGCGGATAAACCTTTTACGACCAAATTATTATACGGGCCGTTGTTGCTGCTCACGTCCACCCTCGCCTCTCTTTCACGTCTGTATTCTTTTTCAACATCAACAACCGCATTCGACTTGCTTCATCTTTACCTTTTGTTGCTACACATGACACCCTTCCATTGACGATACCAACACACCTTTATGCGAGGTCAACTTTATTGAGCAGCCACTGGTTTTCTGTACACGTTCTTTATCCACCTTTCTTTGTGGTCTTTTCCAACGTATTCAGCTATGATACAGCATCCGGAATATTGGTCCGTCCAGCTATGGTACGTTGAATGGCAACTGTTGCTATGCACTGCTTTCCTTATTCATTGTGATGGTTGCTATGGTGATTCCTCTTTTGATTGTCCAATGGCCCGTACTCCTTGGATGGATGAGGTGGTCTTTGTTTGGTTGATGATGCTATCCTGTCTCGCTCATTTGCCTTTCATGGATCGATGCCAGAGCTTTGTTTTGGGATGTCCTGCCATTCCTCAAGGTACATCACACCGAAGACAAGAAGGTTTTATCTTTTTGTGGTGTTGGTTCTGGTATCCTTTGGCCTTGTTATCCAACAACAACAACGGCAGCAGCATCAGGTGGTCCTTTGGGGTTGATGATGGAGCTGTCCTGTCCCGCTCATTTTTCTTCTCATGGATCGGTACTAGAGCCTTGTTGAGATGTCCTGTCATTCCTCAAGGTAGATCAGTGAATGCTGATTCTGGTATCCTTTGGCCTGCTTGCTTTGGATCAGCACCGATGTCTTTGCGAAAGGTAACTATTGTGTCGAATGGATGTCATCAAGCTATATACTAATCAGCGTTTGCATGGGTAACTTTGGGAGATCATGGTGACAAGGTATGTATGCTGTTATGGATGATGCATGGATTAGCTTGTAGGATGCACGTAGATGAACAATTTCAGGATGTTGGAATAAACGCTTGACTTGGCTTGTCATACAATGTATCGGTCGTGGATGAGGGATGTCGATGTCAAGGAGACTTGGATCAGCAATCATTTTCGATGGGTTATATCATTTGTCAGGAAAATGTGGAACGAGAGCAGTGATGGAATTGATTTTAGCCAGCTTACGATGCAAGCAGCTCTTCAAGATTGACCGCATCTTGGATTCCTTGCCCAAGCAGATCAGGTTAAATGAAGAGGAATGGTGACATGGGATTTTCATTATTCAAGTTGCCGATATTACAAATGATCATGAGTGGATTTGATTATCGATATCATGCGTGTGGTGGCAAACAACTACCTATTATGGTAGCTGTGGAGTCAACCTATGAGACAAAGTATACCACCGTTATCGTTTCCCCTGCAACAAAAACAACAACAACGGTCTTTTCCCCTTCAAAAACAAAATTAGCTTTTCTCACATAGTGATCCTAAAAAAAGTAATAATAAATGTTGGATGTAGAGCAGACAATGAATGCACAGCATAACAAGGAACATGATTACGGGTGAGCTCAACCATCATTAGGACTTAACAATCCACCCACGTTGCATGGAAATGATATAAATAATGGGTAGTGTTGCCGCAACATTTGTATCCATCCATTTCTTTCATCCTCAGTGATCCCCTTTATTCGAGACAACATAGCCATCCATCTCAATGATCATCTCCAGCGGCCATAATCATCGCCATATTCATCACTATCATTTCTACGCTAAGAACCCTAACAACAACAGCGGCCATCCTTTTGTCTTGGTTGGAGTCACCACTACTGTTATTGAATCCTATGCTCCTGATCCGCCAATAGTAACCAACGCTGGAATCCCTCCTCCTCCTCTTACAATTACTACTACTGCTTCAGCTCATCCTATTTTTCCACCAGCCATTGCCTCTGGGTTCCCTTGTCTTCATGGCTTTCCACCACCACCACCACCACCACCAATGCCTTCTGTTGTTACCACTGGTATCCCTTCTCGTCATCTCCTTCCTCCTCCTGACCATCATCCTTCTCTCAAATCAATATGGAAAGGGAACCATGAAGAACAAACAAGTCGTGAGGCACCATCACAAATGTCTTTGCATCTCGTTGACCGTTCTTCTACACCATCGAATATTCCATCATTGCATCCCACCATGTCGAATAGAATGCTTACAACGAGTGAACCAGAGTTCCCTTTTCCTAGTCGTACACACCCTTGTATCCTTTGACTTTTTCGGTACCTGAGCCTTTTGTCATACCAATAAATAACTACATTTTCATGTTCACTTGCTCAATGGAGGCAACATGCAAGAAAATCCCTCAACCAAATGTGCTGGTATGTATTGTTGTTTGTCAAGTAATGATGATGGTGATCAATGCAATGTGTCGTCTCAAAGGATGTGCAAGATGACAAGATGAAAGGATGGTTGTCTTTTAATAATTCAATGTCAATGCGATGAGGTCTTGAAATGATGGGGTTATTAACGAGGCCCTTCTATTGGACATGTTGCAAGTGGCTGCATAAACAGGGGGAATTCCGAACAAGGCACACGCTCTCTCTCTCTCTCTCTTCTTTCTTGAAACCACGCTCACACACCCACACACCACCCATCACAGCAATGGCTATCGACACTAATCAACATGGGGCCACTTCCCACTGCAAATGATTGTACTTTATCCTTCAACTCGCCAATGAACATTACTCCAAACTATTCTCTCTCACGCAGGACAACGCGTACATGACACCATCAAGTCTCGCCAATTTCGGTTATCTCCCCAACGAAGAATGGACAACTTTGGAGACAGTACTCTTCATCGATATTCTTGTGGACAGCTGGTGAGTGAAGTGCTCTTATTGCATGGTATTGGAAACACGTATTCACTGTTGTATGCAGCAGCTATCATATGCACCTTACAACGATCTCAGCATACATTGCACGTCATCCTCTAAATGCTTCCATTCTACCTTGTTCATCATCATGTTTTGGTTTGTATACAATGCATCTCTTGTTAAAAACAGCTCAACTCATTATGTATTCAGCATCACATCCACTCTTTATGCATTCTCAATCACCGCACGCGTCCCACGCATTGACCATCATGTCCAACTCAGCATCGTTGACTGTAAGGATCCGAATTGGATACTGCTATCCAAGAAGAGTCTTGTCTTGATCCATGGGTACCTGAAGGTAAGTAAAAAAGGATGGGTTGGTATGTTGAGGGGAGGATGATGGTTGACACGTTGGTTGTTTAGCGAAGCTGTACATTGTCAACAAGATCATGGCTATGATTATAGACCACAATGAAGAGTCGAGCTACAACATGTGATGGAAAAAAGGAGAGCTATGTTGAAGACATCCCAACACTGAGTCAGTCAAGCACCATGTCACTCAAAGTACTTCGCTCCAAACATCGCTGTCGATTGTTGAGGTTCCGAGCAGCTGCACCATGGATGCCTCTAACTGCTGAATGACCGAAGATGATCGAGTCTTGGGATTTGCATGGCTTGGATGGTGACAGCAACTATACCTGCTGGTGGTCAACTGGATTTCGGATGAATTCAACTGATAAGAATGAGGAGAAGCAGCTTCTGGATGCAAGGTTGGCAGGACGAGGATATCAATAAGGGGATGATGGAGGATCACCGATGAAACGAGAAGCAATCATCAACTGAGACAATGACGACCTTCCATGCTTATCAAGTTTCATTGTCATGCAAGCGATCACTTAGCGATATGGCCAACACTCAGCATCAATTTCATTCCACCATTCAACTGATACGCTATGCTCACCACGACTTCATTTGCAACAGTATACATGCGCTCGGATTTCATGGCAATCAGCGGATTATATGAGATGGATCAAAACAACACCCTGGAATGATTGACGCAGCTGATGACAATGCGAGTGGATCTTGGCCATTGGTGATATCGCGATTATAGCCGTATTTTATAAGACTCGCCTCCAATCATTAGGCGACATTGTTCACGGATCATCACCATACAAGCATGCCTTCTTATCATTCCATATTCACCGCGTAAAGAGCCATATCCAAGATAGCTTAGCAACGGGCAACGTTCATGGTTCATCCTCGACGCATGGCTTTGAGTATCTGGAGACTTGGCCTCCCACGCCAATCCAGGATTGAAAAGGTTAGAATTTGCCACCACTTACTCCAGGTACGACATAGCCGATGTGATATCATTATTGCAGCAACAACATCACGCCACATTGGAAGAAATCAGTGTTTCGGTTATTGTGGATACAACAGCAGCCTTGAAGATCTCTTTTCCAAAACTACAATCATTGCATGTGGATGAGATTTATGGTGGGGAAGGAGGGACAGCTGGATACCCTCTCAATCAAAGTGATCAATGACACTATCAGCGACGATCCCTATATTCCATTGCTGGATAAAATGATAGCACGTCAACGTCGATTTTACAAGCTTGGCACTGATCCGCAACAAAGGCATCTCCACAAATGTTTTCTGGCATCTACGATACACGCATCACGTATCCCACCTGAAATTTGGTCGTCAATTGACAGCCGATGAGTTGCTATCTGTGCTACAATGCATGCCGCTACCATCTTTGACTTTGGATTGTGCTCTCCATACGGCCATGACATCCTTCGCCAACATTTCATAGACATCAGATATCATATCACTTGTTCAATGTATAGTGAATATTAAAATGGCAATCCTGCATTCTACCTTTGTGCCCCATTCCATATGCATCGTTTTCGATCAGGCTATAAACACTACAGCAATGATGGCTGCTTTGGTCTTTACTATGTGCTCAAGTAACTAAACTTGCGGCTCTTTGTGAAACGCTCTATCGATCCTTGGGCATTGATTTTGGAGAAGGATGTGATTAGACTAGGAGCTTACTCCTTGTGATTGCAATGAATATAGAAGACACCGACCATGATCGTATAATGACATCCAATTTATCACAAAAATGATCACACTTTCCTCAAAGCCATGTTCCTTTTTAAGATTGGCTACCCATTACGGTTTAGCTTACTTTGGGTGTATGAGCCATGAGATCTCTATTTGAAAAGTGCTCTGTGATATGATCACTCTCATCCTTCTTTTCTCTCAATCCTCTGTAAACAACCAAATGCGACAACACACAGAGCAGCTTTTGGACTGCCTTCTCATACAAGCACTTCGTGGGCACCATCATGACGTCGTTGAGGACACGTCCAGTATTTGTCACGAAGAGGTTATTCCTTTATTGATGATACGAGCAAATTCGATGGCTGCTTGTGCAAAGTTTGAACAAGCACTTGAGATTGCCAACATGGCTATTGACATGGATCCTTCATCTGCATGGGGATATTTATGCAAAGGACACATACTAGCGCAGCAGGGATATCATCAACGTGCAATACAAGTGTACGATGCTGGTCTTTCAATTGACTTGCAAGATGAATCAAATCATACTCGCCTTGCTTGCAGAAGATCAAAATCTAAAAAGGCCCTTGAGAATCGTATGGATCCCATGACAACCTTGCCAATTGACGTTATGCTATTTGACATACTCCCACTTGTCCTTGGCGAAAGGATGCATGATTTCGACAAGTTGTCGCCATATATGGAGGTGTCGCGTACTTGGTGTGTGCGTGTGATCACTGCTTCAGAGTATAAAATGGTGATCCCATCATCAAGCTGTATCAACATGGAACATAAAGCAATGGGTGAATACGCATGGCTATTACAGCACCTCGTTCTCAATGATTGCCACGTTGATTTTCCTCACCTTGCCAAGAAATGGAATCTTCAATCCCTGAAATATCTCCATATCAAAGGTATTGTTTTCAAATGTATGCGTAGGCTTTTTATTAACCTTAGTATAGGTTCAATCCCGCCCCTTACCATAGACCTTGTCAACGCGTTAAGGGTCAGTGGTTTCTACATTTTCGACCTCAAGCTGGATTTCAGCAAAGCTTCCGGTGAATTTGTACTCCCAATGTACCGTATCCTTGAAACGTGCCCAAATTTGAAGTCCTTGACATGCATTCCAGGCGTACCAAATGCTGATGAAGGGCCCCAGCAACCAACTGTGTATCCTCAACTACGACATCTTTCCGTGCAGGGTCCAAGAGGAGCGCCAACATTCAATGACATGTATCACTTTCTTTCGCAATTTCCTGAACTTGAAACATTGGAAGCAAAGCTTCCTTTTACTACAAGTCGTATTTTGGCTATGATACATCATCTTTGTCCAAGATTAAAACGACTGCTTTTCGGAAGTCGTGATGACTATCATACATCAGACTATGAATACCAAGGCGACCTTGATGTGAATGAATCAAAGGGACTTTGCCACCTTGATATTGGCATGCAACGTGCAAGCACTGAAAATCAGGCCTACTCTCAAGATGATGTGGCGATGATTTGCATGCATAACCATACATCGCTTCAAGACTTTCGTTACATGGGATGGCTATCGAACACATGCGAGATTACACAAAAGAGTGTCTCTATGACAAGATTGCCAATGGTATTCGAACAGCTGTCATACATGGAGATACGACTTGAATTGCCTGCTGATCAGCTTGGTGGTCGTTATTTTACATGGCATCGTCGTACGACGGCTCCGCAATTTCCTCCTTTTGTGGAATGGATGATCTTACATGCACCTATGCTTCATACGTTAACGATCGCAACAAAGGTGCCCATTGATGTAGATGTGTTTACAGCAATGCGTGATTTGAACAACCTTGTGCGGCTGAATTTGAACCTTCATGAAGGTAGCACCATGCAAGCGATGACCGCTTTTTTGGATCATCACTTTCATCTTGGATCATCACCATTATCATTCCTCCATATCAGAATCAAGGAGCAGCTTAATCCAACATTGATATCATCACTCGCACGCCTTCCATGTATTCAATCGCTTCATGTGGATTATTTTGGCCCATTGGTGACTACAGTGTTTGATCCGTTGATGTCTACGCTTGCGGTCAATCATTCCCAAGTGAAAGAATTACAGCTATCATGTCAATTCCAAGAAGTATCATTGAGCGCTTTACAAAGTTTGCCAGATTTGGGGTCGCTCACGAAGCTGAAGATACACGCTCATAAAATCCCATACAATGCGTTCGAACCATTGCGTGAATGTACAAAGCTCAAAGTTTTGGAAATAAGGGTTGAAAGCCCAAGCCCTGATGAAGATGATCAAATTGTGGAGACCTTACTCATATCTCAGAGCATTCATAAAGTGGTCTACATTACTACTTCGATCAAATAAAGAATCGTACATGATACTTGCTACTTCAATACATAAGCATGACGCCATGGTATATCGTATTCCATCCATTTCACTCCTTGCTATAAGACATCATTGCCCCATATACCTCCCTCTATCCTAATTTAGGCTTCCCACAAGGCATGCTTATTTCTGGCCGACGTAAGGGTGTTATGGTGTTCATGTTTATTGGCTTTTCTAAACAATACAAATACATACACAGCTTGTACATGCATGCAGTATCCTTGATTCACAGCAAGCAGGTGATGATAACAATGCCAACGCGATATTGAGTTTGAAGACCGGTGAATCCATACTACTTGATATTGTGAATTAACCTTACAACGAGCCAAGCTTAGCAACAACAAGCACTGAGTTGAGCAGTATCACTCTCAAATGTATTGTCTTTGCAATACAAGTGTTCACGAGTTTTCACTGCCTTTCGTCTATCATCACTTAAATTAGGAAGCTTTAGCGAATGTAGCACGTATTGTAATAAAAGAACAAAGGCATTCCATACGATGATGTGGATGATCCAACCTCACTTTCCCAAACTTCAAATTCCTATCCTTCCTTCCAATCCGGAAACCAGCCAAGTGATCCACATCTTGAACATACGACCTTATAGTACGATACCCTTTCACATATTAGGCTGATCCAAATTTTCATTCAATGGAAAGTCGAAGAATAGGACATAATGTTGTGTGTGTTTATGTAGTAAATGTGATACGGAACATCTTTGCAAATTGAATAAGGTATGGGTGAATCACATAGAATCAACAGGGATAATAGCCTTCGTTGCCGCCGTCATAAACACCCTTCATCCATGATTGTAAAATGGCTGATGTGTGTCTTCGCTTGAGTATTCCAATATCTTCCATGCTGTAAAACACGTTTCGTCAAAGATACAAAGCATTCTCGCCAATTCGATCCAATTCAACATCATCCTCAACCGTATCCACGTGAAATGATCCATAGTTCCTTCTGACAACGCGCCAAGTATCCCAAGCAACATTCCAAGATTTCCCATCCTGCATTTGATTGCATTCATCCATCCATCATAACCATTGCAAGTCCAATAAGGAAGAGCCACTGTGATCGCTGCTGATATGCTTCTCTTCCCATCCAGCTGTTGGTCCATCTCTTTTCTTGATCATTTCCTGTCGCATCTCAACCAAGTCAACATCGCTTGCATTGGTGTGTACTCGACAGCTGATATGGGCATCGTCCATAGGAATCCGTGTGTATTGAAGCAAGTTGCTATCACGTAAATAAAGCTGCTTGTATACAATGGCTATCTGCTGTCCACGTGACCAAAGGCTGTTTGAGAGAATGGAATGAGGACCTTGCTCGTAGCAACTGCAGCAACGAATGCTGTTACGATTGGTCGTAATAGAGGAGTGCACAAGAGAAGGTTTAGATGTATCATGGAAGGCGTGTGTTGTAGTGCGCTGTGCAAGCCAAGGGCTTTGCCATTCCGTCAAAGACAATCGGATCAAGAGAGTTGTAGGATGGACATGATGGGTTGAAGCAGGACAATCGTTTGCAGGTGGTAGTTGTATACTTGAATGGGAGGAGAGACAAGAAGTGGAGAGTGGAAGAAGTGGAAATTAAAGTAGCCCCATATACCCATGTACACCGTACTTTCAAACTTTGATATTGAGATTGCCCCTCTCGAACCTGAAGCTTTCACACAAGATCCTCTTGGACATGCTGATCAACCCTCTTCGAATAAAAGTCGTAGACTTCATCATGAAGATTTTGAATGCGGGGGCGGTCCAAATGCAGGAGAAACGATGATAGATGGCGAGAATGTTAATAAGGTGTACTGCCCATGCCCCCCAAGGTACCCTATCTAGATCTTGAAACTCGGTTAAAAGGTGCTCCTTGACATGATGATCACCTTTGTTCTAATAAAGAGCCCATGTTTCATTATGGAAACGTTGAATTGGAATTGTCTAAATGCGGGAGAGACGATGAATGGATGGCAACATAAGTTAAGTTGTGCGGTCTATGTCCTTGAATTTGTCCACCTCGAACTTGAAACTTTCACACAAGGTGTCTTAGGATACGCTCATTAACTATATTCTCATAAAGACGCCACGCTTCGTATTAGATTAATGAGTAGGAATGATGTGGTTGCATAAACATGTAAGATCATTACCCCATAACAGCGTGAAGCCATTCAACTACAGGATGCTGGTTTAATGTTCTCGATTTTAAATCAACGACGCAAAAGACCGTATACCCATCCTTATTACCCCACAGCTACTGCGTTAAAGCAATAGATTATGTATCATGACGCTGTTTTGACAGCGATACTAAAACCATTCTCTTTGACCCTCGTTCAAAAAGTCTAAGGTGTCTTTACTAATACAATTAAAGTTGCGTGGTTTGACCTCCTGCACACATACAAGTGGTCTGGCACGCATATGCATCCCCTATGATCCGTTTTATGGTAGCTCTCTCGCCATCCTTACCATCATACCTACGCATTTTTGGCAAGGATTTTTTTACTTCACCCAACGTCATCCCATATTTTCAAATCCGTACAATAAGAACACAGCCCGCTAATCTATTCGTAGTCATTCACACACTACAACAGGTGGGTCCAACTAGGTCCCGCTGGTACTGGGAAGCTCTTTACAGTAATGTGTTTTTATTCAGCATGATTTACAGTTGATGAAGCAGGTGGTGTAAATGTCTAATACAGGGTCAACCTTCTTGACGTTTGGATCCATGGTCATATGTATGATCTATGGCTCTCGCAACATGTTGTGGCGTGCTTGACGCACCCGTCGTCTTCTGATACGGCGTATTGTGTTTGTTGATGTATCGTATACCACATCCGTATAATGTCGCCGCCAACGACGGACGCGCGAGCCATCTGCTTGAAGATGGTATTCGTAGACGGTACAATTGCGTATATAAACTAGCATCAAAAGAAAATAAATGGGTAGGTCAAAAGGAGGATGGAATGTATTTACGTCGCATTTTGATAAAGAGAAAAAGGAAAAGCCGTGGAAATAATTTTGACACAGACATCAGCAACTTTTATACATTGGCTTTTTCAATGACGTCGTCGCGTGAGATAATGTTCTACTGCTGCATACATATGCATTCCTTCTTTTCACGACTACAGCCTTGTTTACCATTCGTCCATACCCGTATTGAGCTTCATCATACATGTAACACAAAGCTTACTGTCTCCTCCCTTTACTATGTTCCATCCATGGGGAGCTTCTTTATCATTGAAGTACAAATAGTCTCTAATCTTTTTGATAAAAAGGGATCCATAACGCTCTGCATGCGAGTGTACGTATACCAATGGTATATGAAGACCTGTACATGTGTTCCTTCGGTGCTTGCTTTTATTGTGTGCGGGCATGGCTTTGTTAAAAAGATGACGATAAAACCTGCTTATGTATTCATTTATCCTGCTGCCCACGTATATCAATACGCTCTTGTTTATGGCCTGAATGGTTAGCTTTCATTGTCGCTGAGCGTTAGGGGAAATGTGCCAGAGAAGACAATCCTCAGGCTGCAATCCAGATCAGAAGATATTGTAAACAACGCATGTAAGGCGATGGTATGTACAGCGCGCATCAATGGATAAACGTTACAGCATGCCAAAAAGTACATAGAATCAAGTAATATAATGCATTGGATATTCATGTCTACATTACAAACGCAAAAGAGCAGGTTGAATAAGCTACAATTATGGTATCCATTTCCTTGGTTCCATGGGCATATCACTCGTGGTGCCATTGAGCCCTTTACGTTCTTGATCAACTCATCCAAAAGTTGCTGCATTCATGGTATCAGATCCAGTGGCATCAATATCCCAATGCCCACCTCCTTTGCTACCTACCCCGAACTTGCTTCAAGCAGTTTATCGTTGCTTTATGACCCCAAAGTCAGCTGATGAGTGTGGAAGATAGGATCCATCCCATAGGTACGCACCGTAAAGCCTGCATTACGTTAGGATGATATTCTCAATAAAGTAAGATACAATATTTACCTTACACTTGCATTCCCAGACCATATGGATGATCCTCATGATGTTTCGTCATTGCATCCAAGGCACGTTCATCTCGAAAGCCAGCTTGAGAAAATCTCCAATGATTGGGTGCTTTCGTCTCGGCCACAAAACAGCGTAACGTTCCTTTTTTGTTGGTCGTCGTGGATGGCATGGCATCAGGTCACGGCTGCAAACTTTTACCCAATTGTGTGAATCGTCTAAAAAACATGGGATGATGAGTTTTCCACATGCATAGCTCATAAAGGCTCCACTTACCCATCCCGCGAACAATAAGGTATACGTCCAACGATGGTGTTAAAGAAAGGCTTGAATGTTGTATACGAAAACAAATCCTCGTCGATTGCTGTAAAATCGGGTCGACCTGCATATTGAGCCACGCTACACAAAAACATGTTAACCTAATGAGCAACCATTCATCATCCATAAGCAATACATACATCGTCTTGAGAACATGGGCCAGCAATCCCGTCTTTGGCTTCCTGAAAGATATCATCCAATCAATCTGGGACATGGTATAGCATTCTTAACTATGGTACCTCGTGAATAAAACCCCTCCTTCCCCTAATCGCCCATTTATCCATGATCTTCTTTACCTTTTCAATTCATTGTATAGCTCTTTGCTTGACCGCTCCAGAAATACAAATCCATCATCTTGATCCAATTCATCAGACACAGAGAGCTCTTTGAACATATCCAGGAAGCCGAATAAAAGTGCGATAATCCTGATCACCATAAGCAGAAAAGCGGTGCGTGTAATTGAGAGTCAACAGCTCATCACGTGTCATTGCTTCTCCATGGCTGTATTCCTTGACGCAGTCGTCTCCGAGATCGTCTACTTGCACCAAGTGAGTTCAATGAAAGAATCCGAGCTGCATAGTTGTTCATCCACTTACTGATAGCTGATCCGTGCCACGGTAGTATATAGATGCTACCATTCTTTTCATGATTCTTGATTGCTCGTCAACGAAGGCGTTTGTTCAATGCATCCACCAGCTAACAAGTCCCAAGATTGTCCTTCATGTCGCATCAATGCCATTTCCTATCATCGCAGCGTGATTAGTTACAATACCACCCCGCATTATTCGATATCCTTATTACCTCTTTGCATCGTAAAGTGATCCTTTGTGATATTCGCTTCCAATAGTTGGATCAATAATTCGTTGTACCCATCTATAAAGAGAACATGTCAAATCACTCAGCATGATGAAACGCGTTGTACAAGATAGGGATCGCTTACTTTGTCCTTCTGCATGCTTTCCTATGCCTGTTTGGCAGTAGATGTTCCAACTCTTCAACCACCTTTGGTGCCGTGTGCCATTCGATAACGTCGCCCTCGTGCTTGGTTACGAACTTGTTGAAGTTTGTCGCTTGTCAAAAGGAACTTCAAGAGAGCTATTACAGCGACGTCAATGAGCACAGGAATGCAGAGTAGAGAACATGAAGCAATAGAATGGCGTACCGTCAAGCCCTTTGGATGTCATTGTCTCGTGCGTGTCAAGGTTTCTTGTTGGACGCGTGTCAAGGAAGAGAGCAAAGAGAGATCAAAAAGCGATGCGGATAAACCTTTTACGACCAAACTATTATACGGGCCGTTGTTGCTGCTCACGTCCACTCACGCCTCTCTTTCACGTCTGTATTCTTTCTCAACATCAACAACCGCATTCGACTTGCTTCATCTTTACCTTTTGTTGCTACACATGACACCCTTCCATTGACGATACCAACACACCTTTATGCAAGGTCAACTTTGTTGAGCAGCCTCTGGTTTTCTATACACGTTCTTTGTCCACCTTTCTTTGTCGTCTTTTCCAACCTATGCAGCCATGATACAGCATCCGGAATATTGGTTGCGTCCAGCTATGGTACGTAGGATGGCAACTGTTGCTATGCACTGCTTTTTTTATTCATTGTGATGGTTGCTATAGTGAACGCTCTTTTGATTGTCTTATGGTCGTACTCCTTGGATGGATGAGGTGGTCTTTGTTTGGTTGATGATGCTATCCTGTCTCGCTCATTTCCCTTTCATGGATCGATGCCAGAGCTTTGTTTTGGGATGTCCTGCCATTCCTCAAGGTACATCACACCGAAGACAAGAAGGTTTTATCTTTTTGTGGTGTTGATTCTGGTATCCTTTGGCCTTGTTATCCAACAACCATCAGGTGGTCCTTTGGGGTTGATGATGGAGCTGTCCTGTCCCGCTCATTGTTCTTCTCATGGATCGGTGCCAGAGCCTTGTTGAGATGTCCTGCCATTCCTCAAGGTAGATCAGTGGATGCTGATTCTGGTATCCTTTGGTTTGAATGCTTCGGATCAGCACCGATGTCTTTGCAAAGGTAACTATTGTGTCGAATGGATGTCATCAAGCTATATACTAATCAGCATTTGCATGGGTAATTTGGGGAGATCACGGTGACAAGGTATGTATGCTGTTATGGATGATTGCATGGATTTGCTTGTAGGATGCACGTAGATGAACAATTTCGGGATGTTGGAATAAACGCTTGACTTGGCTTGTCATACAATGTATCGGTCGTGGATGAGGGATGTCGATGTCAAGGAGACTTGGATCAGCAATCATTTTTTTGGATGGGTCATATCATTTGTCAGAAAAAAGTGGAACGAGAGCAGTGATGGAATTGATTTTAGCCAGCTTACGATGCGAGCAGCTCTTCAAGATTGACCGCATTTTGGATTCCTTGCCCAAGCAGATCAGGTTGATGAAGAGGAATGGTGACGCGGGATTTTCATTATTCAAGTTGCCGTTATTACAAATGATCACGAGTGGATTTGATTATCGACATCATGCGTGTGGTGGCAAACAACTACCTATTATGGTAGCTGTGGAGTCAACCTATGAGACAAAGTATACCACCGCTATCGTTTCCCATGCAACAAAAACAACAACAACGTTCTTTTCCCCTTCAAAAACAAAATTAGTCTTCGTCACATCGAATTCCTAAAATAGTAATAATAAATGTTGGATGTAGAGCAGACAATGAATGCACAGCATAACAAGGAACATGATTATGGCGAGCTTAACCATCATTCGAACTTGACAATCCACCCACGTTGCATGGAAATGATATAAATAATGGGTAGTGTTGCCGCAACATTTGTATCCATCCATTTCTTTCATCCTAATTGATCCCCTTTATTCGAGACAACATAGCCATCCATCTCAATGATCATCTCCAGCGGTCATAATCATCGCCATATTCATCACTATCATTTCTACGCTAAGAACCCTAACAACAACAGCGGCCATCCTTTTGTCTTGGTTGGAGTCACCACTACCGTTATCGAATCCTATGCTCCTGATCCGCCAATAGTAACCAACGCTGGAATCCCTCCTCCTCCTCTTACAATTACTACTACTGCTTCAGCTCATCCTATTTTTCCACCACCCATTGCCTCTGGGTTCCCTTGTCTTCATGGCTTTCCACCACCACCACCAATACCTTCTGTTGTTTCCACTGGTATCCCTTCTCGTCATCTCCTTCCTCCTCCTGACCATCATCCTTCTCTCAAATCAATATGGAAAGGGAACCATGAAGAACAAACAAGTCGTGAGGCACCATCACAAATGTCTTTGCATCTCTTTGACCGTTCTTCTACACCATCGAATATTCCATCATTGCTTCCCACCATGTCGAATAGAATGCTTACAACGAGTGAACCAGAATTCCCTTTTCCTAGTCGTACACAACCTTGTATCCTTTGACTTTTTCGGTACCTGAGCCTTTTGTGATACCAATAAATATCTACATCTTCATGTTCACTTGATCAATGGGGGCAACATGCAAGTAATCCCGCAACCAAATGTGCTGGTATGTACAAGAAGTCATTCAATGTTGTTTGTCAAGTAATGATGGTGGTGATCAATGCAATGTGTCGTCTCCAAGGATGTGCAAGATGACAAGATGAATAATGGCATGCGATGAGGTCTTGTAATGATGGGGTTATTGACGAGACCCTTCTATTGGACATGTTGCAAGTGGCTGCATAAACAGGGGGAATTCCGAACAAGGCACACGCTCTCTCTCTCTCTCTTCTTCCTTGAAACCACGCTCACACCACTCACCCATTCATCACAGCCATGGCTATCGACACTAATCAACATGGGCCACTTCCAACAGAAAACGATTGTGCTTTATCCTTCAACTCGCCAATGGCAGTACTACAAACTATTCTCTCTGACGCATGACAGCGCGTATATGACACCATCAAGTCTCGCCAATTTCGGTATCCTCCCAACGAAGAATGGGACGACTTTGGAGGCAGCACACCTCATCGACATTCTTGTGGACAGCTGGTGAGTGAAGTGCTCTTATTGCATGGTATTGGGAACACGCGTTCACTGTTGTATGTGGCAGTTATCATATGCACCTTTCAACGATTTCAGCATACATTGCCCCTCATCCTCTCAGCGTGTCCATTCTACCTTGTTCATCATCATGTTTTGGTTTGTATACAATGCATCTCTTGTTAAAAACAGCTCACCTCATTATGTATTCAGCATCACATCCACTCTTTATGCATTCTCAATCACCGCACGCGTCCCACGCATTGAGCATCGTATCCAACTCAGCCTCGTTGACTGTAAGGATTGGATAATGCTATGCAATGGGTACCTGAAAGTAAGTAAAAAAAGATGGGTTGGTATGTTGAGAAAAGGGAGGATGGTTGACACGTTGGTTGTTTAGCGAAGCTGTACATTGTCAACAAGATCATGGCTATGATTATAGACCACAATGAAGAGTCGAGCTACAACATGTGATGGAAAAAAGGAGAGCTATGTTGAAGACATCCCAACACTGAGTCAGTCAAGCACCATGTCACTCAAAGTACTTCGCTCCAAACACCGCTATCGATTGTTGAGGTTCCGAGCAGCTTCGTAATGGATTGCTTCGCCTATTGAATGAAGGTGGTTGATCGAGACTTGGGAATTGCATGACTTGGATTGGGACAGCAACTGTACCTGCTGATGGACAACTGGATTTCGGATGAATTCAACTGATACGAATGAGGAGAAGCAGCTTCTGGATGCAAGGTTGGCAGGACGAGGATATCAACAAGAGGCATCAGGCACAAGCGAGAAGAAATAGGATGCAACAACAATGGCCACCTTATTGGATAATGGAGGATCAACTACGAGACTACAAGAAATCAGCAGCTAAGACAATGACGACCTCGCTACACTTATCAAGTTTCATTGTCATGCAAGCGATCACCTGGAGATAGGGTCAACACTCAGCATCAATCTCACTCCACCGTTCAGCTGATACGCTATGCTCACCGCGACATCATTTGCAACAGTATACAAGTACTCGGATTTCATGGCATCAGCAAGTCATATGAGATGGACCAAAACAGCACCCTGGAATGATTGACGCAGCTGGTGGCAATGTGAGTGGATCTTGGCAATCGGTGGTACCACGATTATAGCCGTATTTTACAAGACTCGCCTCCAATCACTTCGTGACATTGTTTACGGATCATCATCTTACAAGCATGCCTTCCTATGGAACAGCCATACTAGATTGGATATTGCTTCAAGAGATTCATCAAGTAATGCTCACATTTACTATGAAGGTAGGAGGAGAACTGGGACTTACAACAACAAATAGAAGCAACATGTCATTTAAAACGTACCTTTTTAGCTTGCTGATTCCCATGGCAGCTTAGGATGATTATACATATCTCGTGAGTGAACTCAGCATATCACGATTGGATCAAGACGGCGTATACGATGTTGCATTTGCACCCTACGGCAAGGTGTTACAGGTAGTTGGAAGAATTACAAATCAAGCAACCATGGTGAGGAACGTGGAAACAGGATTCGAGGCGAAGGATCTTCATGATTGGATGTCAACTACTACATTTGGATGATGATGTTTTACGATTACTGCAACCCTGGTCTACGATATCCTGGATGGTGCAAAATGAAGCCGATACGATCACAATTTCAATATTATCAACAAGCGGCAGCATTGATCCAATACCAGTGATTCAAGAACAAGGATATACCAACTAGAGATACCCTGTTCATTACATAGTCTGCCGTAGCTCTTTGTTCAATGGATCTCGTGGTGGTGGAATGCAACATAAAAATTTCTCACAGTATGGTTTTTGGTGATGTGGATGGAGTGGATTGTTTTCAGATGATTATCATTGTTTGGATGTGCAATGCCATGATTGAATGAAAGCGAGGGTTCATCGTATTTTATGGTATGTATGGGATAATGAAGGTTAATGGATCACGTTACGTGGAGAATGCTTTAGATGAAACATTGGCATCTGATATGGGCAAGGCATGGTTCACTTGATCGACTTTTTTATCCCAATCGGAGCAGTGGATATTTGAAGGAGCTAGGAATTGGCAATGTGAAAAGACAATGTATAGCTCCATTGGCTAAAGCTGATACATAAAGGATACTGTAGGGATGTTGCACAATGACATGCTCAAGAGCATCATGATTGACGTCTGTTTCTTTGTTCATTATACACTCAAGGGTTCTCTTTCAGCAATACATAGACGAACTGATTCATTCGACAGCTGATTTGGAATCCTGGATGAAGATGTTTATGATAGCAGCAACCAAGAATACAGTAATACAATAGAACAATAATATTGGTTGACTCTATGTGTGGAGATTTATCATGTAGGTATGACATAGTAACAACACGGTCAAAGAATGAGGTACTGGATGTAGAGTCAACTAATATCATTGTACTGTCTTCCTGTATTCTTGGTTGCTGCTATTATAAACATCTTCATCCAGGATTCCAAATCAGCTGTCGAATGAATTGGTTCGTCTATCCAATATGTCTAAACGCCCCTCTCATCGTTGCCATTCAATTCAGCCGTAACGATGTGCCATGGCCCGGTCTTTCTTCCTGACGACGTGCAAGTAACCATAGCAACATACCAGGATTCCCGTGACTGTACTTGTTTGCATTCATCCACGATACCCATTGTAAGTCCAATACGTGCATATGAAAATGTCATGTGATTCCTGCTGCTGACATGCTCCCTACAATTCGCTTATTGGGAGAACGTGATATGTATATACCATGCATAGTGAAGCTTGCGTACTTGTTGGTGGTGTCATTGTATAGGGTATCCTTCAAATTGGCCATCAGCGTCGCGTATGCTAATCATTATCTTTTTCCAACAAAGCAAATCTTCCTGATCATCATGCTGTAAAACGTAATCATCTGGGTGAGAGCAACATGCAATGCTGGCTTTATTCTTGCTTTCATGCTCGTATACATTGAGAATAAGGGGTCTATCCTATGACGGAATCCCGATGGAAAGCGATGTTTTTAAAATGTTCTTGCTCCATGTCAATGATATAGCCCGAGACATCATCTGAGCATTGCAAAGTCAGCGATTGTTGCGGCTTACAGAGCAGTGCATGCGGCAAACTTGAATCCGTCAATTCATATCCAAGCGCCATGTGTTGTAAATGGAATAATACGTATATCAAGGTATCTTCACGACCCTTTCATGTTAACCTTGATAATGGCTGATCTCGTGATGCAACTTTGTTGAATATGACATTGAAAGTATTGCTGCTATACACCACATCATCCCATATTTCAATCGCAAGTGTGTCGAGCTGTGCCAAGTCTCCAATGTTCTCGATTGATTTCATGCTTGTGTTGGTGCCTTTGAATATGAGTGCGAGATGCTCTAGGCGTTCGATATGATGATTAACGAGCCGAATGCAAGAGCTGGATATGGGCATCATTCATGACAGTCATAGTAAGCGTTGTGAGATGATTGGATACAGGGTCGGTAATGCCAATGGGTGAAATATCGAGGTTGAGGCTTGTCATATTGGGATCATGTTTTATAATTCAATGATACAAATGTGCTGATCCATAAAAAAATCATCCAGATGCAATGATTGTAGTTTTGGAAAAAAGATCTTCATAGGCTGTTGTTGTATCCACAATAGCTGAAATACTGACTTCTTCCAATGTGGCGTGATGTTGCTGAAACAGCGATATCGTACATGGAGTAATTGGCGACAAGGGCTATCTTTTTCAATCCTGGCTTGGTGTGGGAGGCAAAGTCGTATGAATCAAAGTCCAGATAATCATTTTCATATTCCCCGCGTAAAGGACCATATCGAAGATAGCTTAGCAACGGACAATGTTCATGGATCACCCTCAACGAATGGCTTTGATTGCATCGAAGCATGGATAAAGCTCGTAGAGAAGGACATCGTGCCAAAACATCGACCATCATGCCATGTGTCATTGTGTCCGGTGGAGTATGAATAGCCAAATGCATGTATTGTGTGAATTCCACTCATTGGCGATAACGCTGGCAATAGTGAGCATACGAAGAGGTGTGGACCATGTTCGAGAATTTGCTGGAGATCAATAGGTTGTACAACATCGTGCTGATCACCCATACCCAATTTCAAGTGCGTCAATCGATCACCTACGGCCATCAACACCGATATCACATTGCTTGGCTGATCCCAACGTTAAAAAAAAGTCGTCTACATTGAGGAATGAGTCATCTTGACGTTTTTGAATAGCACATTCACTGCACTTACCATATAACTCCAATCGTCTTAATGATTTCGATTCTTGTCATGGGAACGCTTGAGCATTATCCTCATCACCTCCACAAAAACGATACAACGTGACGGATACGACACAATCCTTGAACTTGTCGAGCAGGTTTTCATCCGCCACCCTTGCCTTCGAAGGCTCATCCACCTCATAATGCAATGGTAATGATTGCAATAGTCGATTTCTCCAATCACGTGGGACATGTAAGTATGACCATTGGCTGTATTCCCTTGAAGGTGGATATTCAATGATGATCGATGCAATGTATTGGCTCACAATCTCAAGCGGCAGCTGTGTGATGAAACCCGATCGCTTTTCTTGTTGCAATGTGGCAGCGTCTTTTGATTGGACGAGTGCTGAATAAGAAGGATGGTTGGATGATGCTGTATTCATGCCAGTGGTGTATACACCGATGGCCTTTTGTTGTCGTCCTTGTTCTCTGTAAATGTTGCCAACACAAAGGTATCCAAGTGGTGATTGTGGATCAATGTTGCACATGGCGTCAGCATCACGTAAAGTTGCTCGAAACTTGGCATACGAAATGGATATTTGAGAGCGTTTCTGGTAGAGCTGTAGGAGATGGTCGACGGTATGGTGATATCGATAAATGCCTTGTATTGAAGCATTGGGTATTCTTTGGATGGATCATCTACAATAATCATGCATAGCTCAATAAACACGTGTTGTCTTTTCCACAAGTAGACCTCATTACCATTGTGTTTCAGCCCAGCGTAGTAATCACGCACCGATTCGCCTTGTAGAGTGTTCATTGTCATTGTGGAAGGAAACGGGGCTTGCTGAGGTAGATCACCAGGGTGGGTGGAAGAAGTGAGAAAGGCGGAAGAAGTATACTTGCAGACTTGCAAGCCAACAATAGAGGCATCACTGCTATTGGATCAAGCCAAGTGCCGGTGTCAACCACAAGCTGCAAGAAAGGTACATAGTATGGTATCGTATTAGCTTCCTTTTCATTCAAAGCATTGGGCGGGGACACTTACCAAGTCCTGAGGTATCTCAACGTGAAGGTATATATGATGAAAAATAACGTGGACATGTTTGAGCATTAAGATGAATATAACTGTGGATTACTCTATGCGTATCGTATCCATTAGTTATGCAGCTCAAATTCGTACCACCAACATGTGACTCCCTCCCCCTGCCAAACTTACAAGAATGACCGAAATATAATAGCCTGTTGCAGCCATGAGGATGGTGGATCATATAGTATTCCTTATCCTTGCCCTCCACCCAATGAATACATCATACGGCCAAACAATGATCGCCATGTGCTGTAGGACTTCTGCTTCCATGTTGATTTATTGAAGAGTACTGCGTATTCCCAATCGATGTCGTTGTGCCCTTGTCTCTTTCGATATTGAATCAATGAAATAGCCCGTTCATGATACTGGATGCCGTAAACGTAGTCGTAGAAGTTGTCATCCAAGATATTCCATGTAAGAGTGTTTCTCAAGTACCATAAGCCAAATCCAATAGGCATCCCATCCAAGACCGTTTCCAACATAACGTAGTTCCTCAGCCATCGTTGTAACGGTAGATCGTAGCTGTCCTCGATAACCCATGCATCTCAAAGCCAATCCCAAATACCTGCAAATACATGTTTTAATGATCTGCTGCTTCTCATTGCCAATGCACCATATCCCTTTACCTTTGCAAATGGGAGCATCATAGAAAAGAAGCTCTTGTAGCGATACCCAATCATAAGGATGCACCAAGTCGCCAAATGATAGATGTAAATTGAAAGTATGATCTCCATCTCACAAGTATCCAAGGGTCATATCGTATCGCTGCTTCCTGTAATGACGAATAAAACATGTGGAACTGCAGACCCAGAATCTCCAGCTGGCGCAATTAAACTCCATAAGCGATGAGATGTCGTTCTTGCCTTTGAGGATTATTGTTCATGGTCTCCATCAATCAATCAAGTATCAAGTATCGCGGTGTGGAGCATCCAACTTGCAAAGTTCGTATCCTCATCTTCCATTCATGCATCCAAGACAGCTTTCCCTCACTTTTTCAGTGTTGAATAGCATCAGTATCCAATGGCAATCAATCATTGTTGTTGTCGTTACGTTCGCACGCGCTCATTTGTCGAAGCTATTCATCCTGCCGCTGCTCTAGATTCCAACCATCCACAATGATCCTTCAAGTGGAAACCTTTTGAGTGACGTATGGGTAATGTTGTCGAAAGCACTTTGCATGAAACATCATGTTGAGCACGCCGTGATGTGTTCGAGCACCTGTTGGGTCATCATCATTGAAGGTTGTGGTGTGATTCAGTTTCGCTACACGTTGAACATGTCAATGATCCGCCTTTCTTTCGCAAGATACCACCCAACCCACTCGTTACCTCGATATACAACATAATGTGAGCAAGCGTTGCAGCATGAAGACATAAATCCAAGACTCAGAACATGGTGCTGCATCATAAAAGGGTGAGATAAATGCCCCTGTGGTTCTCCATTATCCTTTTACCTTGGCGAATAGGTAGGTCTTTACCCAATCATGCGGTATCTTCAAATCTGGTTCGACAATGTATAACTGGAAATCCCTTAATGGAGACGTATACAGTGGATCAAGATAGTTTTCAACGGCATGTGGCAAGTCTGAAAGAGTGGAAAATGGCGAAATGAAGAGAATACTTGGGTTGTAAATATAGCAGCGGATGATCCGGTCGGTCTTGTGCGTCGAAGTTATTGGTAAACCACGGTTTAACACCAAATAGCCAAAGGAACATTGGTGGTGTTGCTTTGATAACAAATATGGCTGCCACCATTCCATCCATCCAAACCCATGAGCCCTGTCTTGTGTCGCGTGCAATACATTTCAAAGATGGTGGTGTCAAATACAGTCGATTTGTAATGCCTTGGTGCCGTAGCTCGCCCCATCTTGCCAGATCATAGCATACTCCATAGCAACATGCCGCAACATCATATGAAACATAGATCCATCGCTTGCAGATATCGGCTCAGGGACATAAACGCTGCACACCATGATCAAATCAGACATCATCCCATATCCTATAAGCCCATGCCATCCTTACCTTGTCAACTAGTCTTGTAATGATAGCACACAGCGATCATGTCCAACGACTTTAGGTAGCCAAGTAGCCAAATATGAACCTTCCAGACAACGTTGAAACGTTGACACGGTTGCAGCTCATGACGTGTTGCTCAAGATGTTTGCTGCATGTAATAGATATAGCGTCAATGCTGGACTCGTCTCCATTTGCTGTTGGGTTTGATGCGGGGTGTTGAGAGGGACTGTGGTCATGACATTGAAGAGAAAAAGGTGGTAATAGCATAGAAGCATTCAATCGGTCTCATGTGTCAATGTCGTTTAGTTGTATGAAGCAGGGTCGTTGTTGTCTGAAGGTGCGGAAATGTAAAAGAGTGGGTGCAAAAGAAAGAGAAAGAGAGCGTTCCTTGGAACACGACGTTGACGACCCAGCGGGAAAAATTGTCGCAGCCAGTAACTCGGATACCCACTCCTGAAGATTTTCAAATGTGTAGCACTCATGTTGTGAGACGTTACATCATCCTCACGGAGAAGACCATCCGATATGCATGTCTCATCACTCATGTCTACAAAAGAAAAGCATGTCTTGTTCATGTTGAGGATTTCTTTGCAGGGAGTGCACACATATTTGATGCTGCGATTCAGGAGAAAACAACATGATATGAGATAATATCTTCAAATCTTGCGTTTGCATGCAGTGGCTGCATCCATCATGCATGTTGCACAAACTTTGATCCACCTTGTGTTGGACATTAAAAATGTTGTTCAACATCCTGATGATTTTGCCACCCGTTTTTTCCTTTCAAAGTGTTAAAATGGCATCCCCTCAAACAGACAAGCAGGTATGTCAGCCTTGTAAAATGATACCAATCGAGCAAGAGAGCCTGGAAACTAAATGTGCAGTCTCAGACAGATAACACTTTCCAGCATGATGTACGAGGATACGAATTACTAGAGCATCCGCACTTTTTGCTGGTGTATGTGCCAAACAATGGAGCCAAGATGCGGCTTGTCAAGCCATCAAGCGATCCATATCATCGAGAACAAATCATACAAAGGATCAACAAGGAGGACAACTTACTGCCTCATTACGCATTGTCTCATCTTTGGGGCATCTCACACAACAACCCTCATGTATGGAAGGAAATTGGTGACTATGTGGATGATGAAAACGGACAACCAGCTGCTCCTGTTTCCATGCGACCTAAAAAACGAAAGACATTGCGCACATTGCTACAAAGCCATCCTGATAGTTACTGGTGGATCGATGTTTTATGTGCGCGCACGGATACACCTTTGGCTATTATGGGGGATATCTATGCTTGTTGCAAACAATGCTACGCCATGATTGATTGCAGACCTGATATTATCACAAGTATTCTTTCAATGAAGCATCGCTCTGAAGAATCCGATCCTGCATCATGGTCCATTTATGAACACAACGTGGCCGTTAACACTTTGGAGACGTTCACAAGCTCTAACTGGTGGAGACGCGTATGGACGTGGCAGGAGGCGGTGCTACCAAAGGCTGTCATCCTCATGGCTGAAACGCTTCCTGATGACGTTGATGACAATAACAGCATGTTGTCTATCGGTGATCTTATCACGTTGTATGACAAAATATTATTGAGCTCGTGTTATTATCGAGGTACGTTTTGAAATGGTAAACGTTGTGGTTGTACTCTCATGTTGATGATCAACTATGTAATCGTTACACACAGACACTGTCTTTGGGCCGAAACCTTTACCAAACCGAATTTGCTATATAATTGAAGAAATCCGAGATTCTCGGGATCGCAACCATCTTCTTCCGATTGGATTAGTGGCCATGTTCAAATCATTTGCATTATCAGCAAGGAAATGTATGGATCCCCTTGACTACGTGTACGGCGTGCTCGGCTTGTTCCGGTTTGACATTTCAAGAAAATCAAATCCCAATGAAGCATGGCATCTTTTCATCTCCGAGCTTGAAAATTACTTGGTGGATCCTTCCCGTATCAAAATCGAAAACGTCTACCAAAGAGAAATAGCTTACAAGCTTCTAAACAATTGTCAAGCATGCCATTGCAACCTCATGAGTGCAAAAGATATGCGCGATGTCTATGAATGTCTCGTTGACGGATTCATCTTTCTAGACGATTAAAGAACCCTTATTGCTCAATCATATTTTTTTTTTTCAAAAATGCAATCTTCTTTTTCGTGCATCATGGTATGTATAGGGAAATGAAGTCTCTAAGTGAAAGGTGCCTGGATCAAAATATTGTCTTTGTTATTGGTTTTGTATGCCCAAATCCATTTTGTCATACGTGGACCACATTGCTATGTAGAAATTCAATGGAGCTGAGCCCATCCTGGATACATAGCGTGTGCTTGTGCAATGATTTTAATTACCAATGACAAGCTACTATGTAGTATCATTTATCCCTATACATACCAGCCTTGGTCTTTCATCCTGTTTCCCCCATCACATGGTACGATTGAATGATTACAAGCAACCCCCATTGTATACAACCAAATGACGATCATCATCCCAAAAAAGTAACCACGTGATTCTCGTTGCCAAGCAGGTATAATGCAAAGATTTCATTTTTGGACATGTACAACTACAAGATTCATTGAACAAAGGGACGCTTTCAATTATGTCTATTTCCAAGTGGCTCATTGTTGTTGCCCATTGCTGCTCATTGTATAAAGGTAGCACCTCTTGTATCATTCACGATATCACGTATGTTGCCAAGATCCATCATTCAAACGAAGTTGCCATCCCAACATGAAAATTGTTCTCATCAAGCACTGTTCCTTGGTTCCTCAGAATTTGATGTGCTTGATCATAGCGATTCTTGGTGATTCATATATCGTAAAGCATAGTAATTCTCAATTCCATAACATACGGTGGATGCCATGCGATATGGTGTATTCAATCACAGAAGTTCAAGCAAGATCCCGATACGGACAAGGTGTGAAATGATTGGTGGACGCGTACAGCTGCATAAACGTAGAATGTTGCCAGTTGGGTCTTCCCTCTCCCAATGCGGATAGCCATGCAGTACCATCAACCCCTTCGTTTCTCCTCAAATCATCATGTTTCTCCATTCAAATTGTCATGCCGCATGCCAAGTTGAAGTAGCCATATGGATACCCGTTGATCCCATATGTAACCTTGCCTGCTTCCTTTTATCAATAGCGGCCCTCCCATGATGACGATGATTCTTGCTGATGGAACTCCATTCCTTTTGCCGTATGCCAAGATGAAAGGTCCTCGTCGAAATCCCGTAAATCCACTCAATTTCACTCGCAATGTCCAATGATAGCCCTCTCTTTTCCAGCGAATGACAGCACTCCATGATCTCCAATGATAACCATTTTCCATCATCTTCAACCTTGTCCACGTAACATGATGCATTCTTGTTGCTGGCAATATTGACAGTAGATCTCGAGGATTCCTCATCCTTGCACTTGTTCGAATACGTCTGTCATAATCTTTTCATTCGCCAAACAATTGGATTATGTGATCGCTACTGCTGACATGCTTCTTTTCATGCGCTCACTGGAAAAGTGTGGCATCGAGTGTGGATGGCGATTCTTGCGTATTGGAAAGATTGTATCGGTAGCTTTCAGGTATCATCAAAGCTGTACATCACACCATTCAGTTGCCCTAAATGATCCACGTGTTATCCTTCATCTCTTCCCTAATACCCTCGTCCACTTCCTTGTTACCTTGACAAAGAGGCTAACAACAAGAAAAAAGTGTGCTGTTGGTTAATGACACGTGTGTTGCGCTTGAAGAAAGGAGGACATAGGTGTTAGGAGACAATAAAACTGGTTCATGGTATCGTAAACATGCGGCAAGACTCCAAATTCAACCACTGGTGGAAAAGGCTTTTTCCAACATGAGCGTTCCTTGCTTTGCTTGCTCAATGAGGAAGTCGTGAATAGAGAGTGTCGATAGTGCCATGCATGCTGTCATCAATGGAAAGCCAATCGTTGCGAGGATGCAGTTTGGAATGTCATTGTCAAGTTGAGTGGGTTGTGGTTGAAACGAGTACAGGAACAAGAAGCAATGAATTCACGCTGCGACGTTCATAGATCACCTGTATTCCCAATTGTAAAGTGCACCAATAAAAGTATCACTTTGGGGAAACCTTCATTTGATTCTTGTAGTCATCTTAAAGACGTCTCCATACGACCAAGTCTTTGTATATATCCGCCATGTTTTTAGCCTTCCGTAGATTAATTTGGAATGCATGGTCATTGATGACAGGAATTCCTTTGGGGTTGTGCTGTAGATCCTTCATATAATTCTCAAGCTCAGACAAGAAAAGCTGCCAAACCGCACTAGGATCAGACATCGTTGGGATTTTGATCTGGAATAGGCCAAGCACTCCATAGACATGATCCACTGGATTCATGCAACGTCGAGGAGACTCGCTCAATGAAGCAAGGAAGCCAAAAAAGTAATCAATGCGGACGTTGGTCTCCATGGCACGCAACCGGTTGAAACTTGTAGCCCGACTGATCTCATCGAAACAAATGGATATACGCTCTGTCGCAGCATTTCCTATGGCAAAGATTACTAACATTGTTGGAAAAGCATCTTGTATACAACATACCATGTTCACTATAAATGTCATGCCACATGCTTTACCGCACCTTCAAAGTTGTAAACAAGTTTATCCACTGCTACAGTGTTGCTGCGAGATACATGCGTCCTTGTTTCAGACAAAAGTCGTACACCTCCAAAGGGTAAGGCCATCTCCTGCCATGTACATACACGCTTCCACCATTCACTTTGCGTCAGGGTATATAAGAGATCAATGAGCTGACCGTATTTTTTTGCTCAAAAAGCTGCTTGTATGAGCGGTAGCGTTGCTGACTTTGAGAGCCTCTCTGAGATTTCAAGCGCGGGAATTCTTTTCTTGCATCCTTCATCGTGTTCAGTTGCAGTATTAAAATAGGTGGACAATCCGCCATGGCAATACATCGAATGGAACAAGAGTAAAAATCGCCCATAATATCCAACGTTGTATCGGAACGTGCACACAACATATCAATCCACCAATAGCTGTCGCGATGATGTTTGCATTACAATGTGAAATCATCATACTTCGCCCAAATCAGGTCTATTCGGCATTCGCAACGCACCACGTTGTAGTCTCCGATTCAAGCAGTCTTTTGGCTATATACCAGGGCACGTTGATATGGCAGTAGTGGGCAAGCATGTTGCTTTTCATTGTAAAATCATCATACTTGCCTCAAATCGGATGTATTCGACATTCGCAATGAACCACGTTGTAGCGTCCAATGAACGCAGCCTTTTCGCTATATAAGAAGGTCATGTTCATATGGCAGTAGCGGGCAATAATGTTTCTTTACAACGTGAAGCCATCATACCTCGCCTAAATCAGGTGTATTCCCCATTCGCAATGCATCAAATTGTAGCCCGCAATCCTAGCAGTATATTGGCATATAACAAGGTCACGTTGATATGGCAGTAGCAGGCAACAATGTTACTCTTCATGGTAAAATCATCATACTTCGCCCAAATCAGATCTATTCGCCATTTGCAATGCATCATATTGTAGCACGCAATTCAAGCAGTCTTTTGGCTATATACCAAGATTATGTTGATATGGCAGTAGTGGGCAATAATGTTACTTTACAATGTGAAATCATCATACCTCGCTCAATTCGGATCTATTCACCTTTCGTGATCCATCACATTGTCGCCCGCAATTCAAGCAGTCTTTCAGCGTATAACAAGATCACGTTGATATGGCAGCAGCAGCCAAACTGGTTACTTTTCATTGTAAAATCATATTAATTCGCTCAAATCACATCTATTCACCATTTGCAATGCACCACGTTGTACCCCCCCCCCGATGCAAGCAGTCTTTTGGGTATATAACAAAGCACGTTGATATGACAGTAGCGGGCAATAATATCACTTTACAATGTAAAATCATCATCCTCGCCAAAATCCGATCTTTTTCGCCATTCGCAATGCACCACGTTGTAGCCCCCAATCAACGACGCTTCCTGCTATATATACCAAGATCACGTTGATATGGCAGTAGTGGGCAATAATGTTACTTTACAATGTGAAATCATCATACCTCGCTGAAATCAGATCTATTCACCATTCGCAATGAACCAAGTTGTAGCCCCCAATGAACGCAGCCTTTCGCCTATATAACAAGATCATGCTGATATGGACGTAGTGGCCAATAATGTTACTTTACAATGTGAAATCATCACCCCTCGCTCAATATGGATTCATTCACCTTTCGCAATGAATGAGTTTGTAGCTCACAATCAACCAAGCCTTTTGGCGTATACCAAGGTCACGTTGATATGGCAGTAGCAGCCAAGCATGTTGCTTTTCATTGTAAAATCATCACACTTCGCTCAAATCAGATCTATTCACCATTTGCAATGCACCACGTTGTACCCCCCGATGCAAGCAGTCTTTTGGGTATATAACAAAGCACGTTGATATGACAGTAGCGGGCAATAATATCACTTTACAATGTAAAATCATCATCCTCGCCAAAATCCGATCTTTTTCGCCATTCGCAATGAACCACTTGATTGCCAGCTGTTGGAGTATTCGTTCGCCGTAAAAGCAAACAATCTGCAGTATTAATTTTGTGTTTGAATAATAGTGCGTGGTTTGTGAACAAGCAGGGACGGTGTTGTTTGATGCTCGCCAAATCTGGTGTGGGAGATAGATATATTGGTTTTGGTATCGGCAATATGCCGTAGTATCACAGCAGGAAAAGAACGTGTTGGTCGTTATCGTCAAGCGTGAAAAAGACCTCGACATGGTCGTGTCAAAGCGCGTAAGGATTGAATGCCGATGGCGGCATGTAAGCACTGTCATGCGTTGGAAGCCAATTGTAGCGAAGGAAGTAAATGCCCGGGCGAAGGAAAGAAATGCATTTGCAGGAAAGTGGGCCTGCAAGAGAAGAGAGCGCACCCTTATTTAGTCCGCCCAACGTGCCTTTTTAACCGCATATAATGTTATGTAACTCGTCCGGATGCCCATAATGCTTGGCGCTATTATAAACACTTGATAAATGATATTAGTAAAAGTGATCTTAAACGTTGATTGATTGCTAGGAAACCTTACCCTTGCCATGTGCTGTAGATTGATGCGTCATATTCTCCATGTTATTAAAGACCAACACCAAAAGATAGCTATGAGAATATTGTTATTGACGCGTATGGATGCTTCATTGTAACACAATGGAGAAATACCATGATACATGATGCCACCCAGCGATCAAAAGCAATTCCCTGCTGCAGAGATGCCCATACTACGACCAATGCTGCTAGCGTTTTTTCCAAAGGAAGGGAGCGATACTTGATGTCGAATGGCTTGAGACCTATATCCTTGGTTTAGTGTGAGTAGCTATAAGACGATGGTTCATATGGACATGGTCATTGTAATAAGCTATCATTGAGTTTAATGTGGGGAATTGGCCTCTATTACGTTTGTGTGTATAAATGCAGCTCGACCGATGGATTTACATAAGCAACACACGGCTTCCCTACCGAAAATAAGAGATAGATGATTTTATTTATTCAATTCGGATAAGAATGTAAAAGTTAGCGTGGATGATGCAGCAGCAAGCTGTTGTGGTACCTGTAACACCCAGATCCCGATAGCGGGGTGTGGATGGAGGAGGAAGAGAGAGGAGGTGTACGTACGTGTATGTGTGGAGGGAAAAAGTGTGGTAGGTAAGCAAGGATAATTGGCTGGCGATTACAGTGGCTGCATGTATATTGCTTGTTGGTTCCTTTATATTCTCGCCCCGCAAGCAGAGAGAACATTTATCGCTTTCTTACATAAGAGTATCCAGGATCATTCAATTGTACTATAATATGACTGATAACGGCCCTCTGACACACATTGTCGTTGAGGGCAGTCTAGTACATAATTTACCAGACGCACAACGATTTTTTGACCAGGTCAAGGAAGTAGTTTGACCATTTTGAGTAAAATGTTTTACTAGCCCTACATAGTTGAGTGACTAGCGCCAGTTAATCAATTTACTAGGCCTAGTAAACAATTTGACTGGGTCTAGTAAAACATTCCACTAGTCACAATACACTCTTTGGTGTAGGGGGGCCGTAAATACTATGCACAGACCCACAGAGACTTTGGACTAGATAACTAAAGTAGATTGATCACGTTCAGAGAAATATTTTGCTGAGATCAGTAAACTGATTTACTAGCGACAGTCAGTCAATTGTGTGGGCCTAATAAAAAATTTTCACTGGACGTGGTCAAACTACTCCTGTGACGTGGTCAAATGTCTTTAGCAGCCTGGGCACACTATTTACTACGCCCACATGAAAGAATTTATTGGACGTAGTCAAATGTTTAACTAGACCAAGTCGGATGTTTTGCTAGACCTAGTCAAACAGTTTACTACACCTAGCAAATTGGTCAACTGGCGCTGATCACTCAACTAGTGTGTGTCTAGTAAACCATTATACTAGACATGGTCGCACTACATCCGTGAGCTGGTAAAATGTCTTTGGGAGTCTGAGCACACTATTTACTACGCCTACGCCAAAAGAATTTATTTCGCCTAGTGAAAAGTTTTACTAGACCCAGTCAAATGGTTTACTAGGCCTAGTGGATTGATTAACTGGCGCCAGTCACTCAATTATGTAGGCCTAGTAAAACATTTTATTGGACATGATCAAACTATCTCCCGGACCTGGTCACATTTCTTTGGGATCCTCGGCACACTATTCACTGTGCCTAGATCAGAGATTTTATTACGTCTAGTCAAATCGTTTACTAGGCCCAGTGTAATGTTTTACTAACCCAAGTAAGTTTTATTTACTAGAGTAAGTCACAGCTCTGTGCGCCTAGTAAAACATTTTACTAGACATGGTCAAACTACCTTCTTGACCTGGTAAAATTTCTTTGGGAGACTCGGCACACTATTCATTGTGCCTAACGCAAAGTCTTCGCGACTAGCGAAATTTCTTACTAGACTGAGTCAAATGGTTCACTACATCTAGTAAATTCATTTACTTGCGCTAGTCACCCAACTAAGTGAGCCTAGTGAAACATTTTACTAAACTTGTTCAAAATACCTCCTTGACCTGGTCAAATGTCTTTTGGAGCCTGTTCACGCTATTTACTACGCCGACACCAAAGAATTTCTTCCGTCTAGTCAAATGTTTTATTAGCCCAAGTCATATGTTTTAGTGAGCCTAGTAAATTGATTTGCTAGCACTAGGCACTCAACTACGTGGGCCTAATAAAATATTATACTGCACGCGGTCAAACTACCTCCTTGTCCTGTCAAATGTCTTTGTAGCCCATGCGAAGTTGTTACTACGCCTACGCAAAAGATTTTATTTCGCCTAGTCAAATGTTTTACTACCCATAGTCAAATGCTTTACTACCCACAGCCAAATGGTGATGTGGTCCTGGCAAAAGTTTCGCTACGCCTACGCGAAATGTTTGATTTGCTTGGTGAAATGACTATGCCGCGCCAGTAAAAGATTTTACTGGACACTGTAAGTAGTATAACTAGCTCCAGTTAAACAACTATGTAGACCCAGTAAAACAGTTACTAGACCTGGTCAAACTACTTCGCTGACCTAGTTAAATGTCTTTTTGGGCCTGAAAAAAGAATTCACTAAGCCTTCGGCAACGGCTTCGTTACCTAGGCAAATGACTATGCTGTTCCAGTCAAATCCTTTACTAGGCGTTGTTCGACAAGCATGTTGGCCTAGTAAAACGTTGTACTAAGCCCAGTCGAACCGCTTTCTTCACCTAGTCCAAAGGTTTTACTAGGCCTATCAGAATGTGCTTCGTTGCCTAGTCAAATAACTATGCAGCCCCAATGAAATGTTTTGCTTGGTCTAGTTAGACAATTATGCGGGTCCAGTAAATCGTTTTACTTGGGCTCGTCAATGGCAATGTATCACTAGTTGGAAACCAAGTTGACCTGATTGAATGCTTTATTAGGAGTGGTCGAATGGTTCTCTAGCACTCTTGAGATGGCTATATGTCCTTGTACAGTACCCATTTGAATTGGTACAATGTTGATGCAAAGCCAATGGTGGCACCGAGTTTGGCCATGGCAGGAGATGGCTCTACCTTTCGGAGACGTGCGTCTTATGTCTAAAACTGTGGCGTACCGGGAAGTTTTAGTCAACACAATAGCTGTGGATGATTTAATTGAAAGCTTCTGGAAGTAGATGGGAATGATGGGTTTGATTGGCCATGCCAATGGATGTTTAAAAGGTACATCGTATGGGATGGTGCTTAATCTTTTATTAACAAACGCTTTTAATCTATCAGCAGGAAGTCATGCCGTGCGTGTGACACTCCGCGACATAAAACAATCAACAGCTTTCCTTGCGCGTTGTATAAAAAAGAAGGGCACAAGGAACACAATTTGTTGCCATCATCATGTTGAGGAGAACACGCCTCTTTTACTGTGTAAAAGTGATTTAAGCCGTCCTGGCTCATTTCTCAGCTGAATTTTATTATGAACGAACATGACGAAGACGAAACGTTTGTCAAAAGCGCTTCACGTTTGCACATATAAAGAATGAAGTACACGGCATTAGCTTCCATTTTGGTTGCCTGTACAACCTAGATGTGACACGTACCATCGATAACTTCGGAACACTTGCCGTTGTCTCCGAGTCCAGTAACCAAGTACCATTACTTCCCCAATAAAGACCCTTTTCACCACGTCTACAACGATCTGTTGCTTGCTTGAATCCTTTACACGGTATCCGTTTCTAGGGCTACCAACGTGGGGTAACTTGGCGTGTGCTCGTACTTGGAAACCTTTTCTTCTCAACTCAGGATCTTTGATCGACATCCTGCATGTGACACAAAACATTATTTTACCAAATGGCGAGCTGCACTCCATTTTGGGATTCTCCCAACTCTCTTTCTCCAATTTTCAACATGACGTGTTGCGCTGAGGAGCAAAACGGCCCCTACCAAGTTCGTAGATGCATAATGCCCTTGCATCGTTAATGGTAATCATGTCATTGTTCTATAGATCAATATAATTCGGAGCATGGCAAAGACAACAAGCGTAAACGTTTTTTCGAGAACGGGCTTGGCGCACTTTTAGCCCACGAACACTTTACGCTGCTTTATATCCGGTGGATAAGAAGATACGCGGATATGTGGAAAGCCCCCTGCCTTTACGAAGGTGATGCTGCATTACAGCCAATACGATATCCAGATTGAGTGTCAGTGGATTATTCCCCTCGTTGTTACTCCAGTCTCTCAACCCTATTTTTTTCTTGGAATCGCCCTGACCCCAACCTCGTGATGCCAAATATAAAGGAATGCTCTTTGATGAAGTATTGAATTACTCACATGGACATTTACATCCTTTAATCTATCTTAATAGAGTGTATGTTTCACACAGATTTACTGCGAAGATCTACCTATTACTATGACAAGCCTTCAACAACACCAGTTATAGCAAAACTCAAAGTTGGGTCATGGTCAAAATATCCCATCATTTAAAACTGATCTACGCTCAACGCACCAAGTTACAAACCATACATCAACAACAATACTCGTATATCTGCCTGCTCTTGACCCTTATCCACCATTTGAGATATATCCTCTCGTCCACCCCTGAATGCTTACCTACATATGTTGTTGATCCTTACCCATCATTCATTCATGATATACCCCTTGAGCCCTTCTCCACCATTCTTCACATACACTTTTGAACCTCGTTCAGAAACACATGCTTATCATCATTCATGCGTACAAAACGAAAGACAATTCTTTAAAACAATAGCAGTACATTCTTAATAGCCGTCGACACGCTCTTGAATCTTGAGCAAATCCGAATAAATACCAAAGGAAGTGACAGCTGCACCAGCACCAGCACCTTGGATAATGAGGCCGTTGGGAAAGTACTTTGTGGTGAATTTGATAATGTTGTCACTGCCAGACAACGAGGCAAAAGGATGAGAGGCAGGGTATCTAATAAAAGAAAAACGAGTCAGTCATGTAATCCTCCATCACATGACCCACATTTTATCCTATTACCTGATCAACTTGACACCACTGTTACCACCCTTGACATCCACAAGACCAACATAACGAAGCACTTGGCCATCCTTTTTGGCGTCCTCATTCAGCTTGGAGAAATGATCATCAAACTCGGGCAATTTGGCCATGAATTCATCAGCGGAAGCAACAGCTTGCAATGGCTCAGGGACAATGTTTTCCACAGGCAAAGTTGACAAGTCCAAGTCCAAACCAGCCAAACGACCACAGATAGTAACCTTGCGAGCGACATCCATACCATTCAAATCATCACGAGGGTCAGGTTCAGTGTATCCAAGTTCCTTGGCGACCTTGACAATGGAGGAGAATGGTTCCTTCTTGGCATCAGCAGACAATGAAGAAAAGTTGTTGAACAAATAGCTGAGCGTGCCAGAAAAGATGCCTTCGATCGTTTGGATTTCATCACCCGTCTTTACGAGATCGGCCAAAGTGTTCAATACCGGCAATCCAGCACCCACAGTCGATTCATGATACACAAGAGGCTTGTTGTTACCTGTACTAGCACCCAAGTTGGCAGCAAGCGATTCGATTTGCTTGTACAGGTCAAGAGAACCAGAGAAGCCTTTCTTGTTGGGAGTCACCACACTGACGCCAGCAGACAACCAAGAGGGATACAACTGAGACACAGCATCGGATGCAGTACAATCAACAATAACTGCATGTTCAGGCGAGCTGCTCATGTACTTGACAAACTGAGTGAGATCGGAAGCAGTGGTGCTGGATTCAAGCGACTGTTGCCACGAAGTAAGGGATAAAGGAGCGTAGTTCTCGGACACGATCATTTTACGCGAATTGGTGAGACCAACCACTTTGAGACGCTTGGCTTGAGTAGCTGCCAATTGGGAGAGCAATTCGGATCCAACGAGACCAACACCAACAATGCCAACATGCACCATGATGCTTTGTGTGTGAAAAAGTGAAAGAGTGCGGAGAAGAGCGTGCCTTTCGATTGACTCGAATATACGTCAATGATTCTGATTCATACCATCTCATCTCCGCAACAATATGAATTTGAAACGTCCTGATCCGGTTGTAGTATTTGCCCGTCTGGTCATTTCTTTGTGAATTGTGACCATAGCGCTGTAATGTTCGGAGCGGGATTTAATATAGAGAGAAGGAGAGAATAGAACTAATAAGATAATCCTTTATTGTAGGATGGCAATGGATATATATATAATGATAACAATTGTTTCAGAATGGATAATGTGATATACGAATGATATACTTGTGATCTTGGGAACTTGAACATGTGTTATAATGGTTGCTTAGCAACATCATGAGGGATTGAGTGGATGTCATCTTGCATCTTGTCATGTGATTCTTTGGTTGGCTGGGTTACATCTCACATCACTCCCCTCCTCGAAAGATGGTGGCTTGTTGAATGGTCGCATGTGTTTAACATTGGCGGTGGTTGTGTACGTTGGCGCGTCTTGTTTCCTTATCGTATACGCGGTGCCTTCGTTATTTTGCTTGACAATGACAAATGGACCAGACCAACGCTCTTTGGGAAATGGCTGTCGCTCCAGGTTTCGACGCAATATGAGATCACCAGGCTTGTAGTCGATTTTGGTGTTTTTGCCTTTATCGTATTGGCGCTTCTGCCTTGCTTGCGCTCTCTTGATGTTCGATAGAGCTTGTCCATGAAGAATAGGAATGTGTGCATTGAGGTATTGCATCCAAGGTTCAGTCTCGTAAGTATTGGTATTGATGTTGAAGTCGCCAGCAAGTGGGATCACCGGTTCTCGTCCGAACATGAGTTGAAAAGGTGAGTATCCAGTAGAGGAGTGCTTGGCCGTGTTGTAGGCAAACGTGACAAATGGCAAATACTCATCCCAATTTGCAGGATCGTGTGCGGCGTATGCGGCGAGTGAAGTTTTGATCGTACGATTGAGCCTCTCGACCAGTCCATCGGTTTGAGGATATTCAACAGACGTTAGTGATCGAGAAATACCAAGACGCTTACATACCGCATTCATCGCATCCGAAATAAAGTTCGAACCATTGTCAGTTATCCATCGATTTGGTGTTCCATATTTAAGGACGACTTCGTATAAAAGAACGTTGGCTACGTGATCCGAATCGTAACTTGGAAGGGCTGCTGTTACTGTCCACTTGGTGAGGTATTCGCTTAATACGAGGATGTGCTTGTTGCCTTTGATCGTGGTTGTGAGAGTTGCAATATCGCCTGCCCATATGTCGCCTGCGTAACGGGGAAGAATCGGTTTCATTGGTGCTGTGGTCGAAGTTGTGCTGATCTTGTATCGTTGGCAAAGCTCGCATCCTTGTATCCAGGCCTTGATATCTTCTTGCTGAGTTGGCCACCATGCCAATTGTTGTGCTTTGCTCAATGTTTTTGATACGCCAAAATGCCCTGATGTCTTGTGGTCGTGTGTTGCGCGAAGTATTATGGGTAGCATTGCTCGTGGAAGTACCGGTTTGGCTGATTCTTGATCTTGCTTATGAAATAGTACGCCTTGATGCCATGCAAATGGTTCCCGGATTCCTTGTTGGCAGAGTTGCTTGATGTACGGGTCTTGGTTTTGATATTGCTTGAATGTGTCGATCGATAGCTGTGCTGTCTCTTGCTGATTTTGATGTACTCGGCTAAGTGCATCCGCCGCGGCATTCTCGACTCCTTTGCGATGTACAACGGTGAAAGTATATGATTGGATATCCAAGATCCATCTTGCAATGCGCCCTCTTGGGGAATTGGTGGAAAGGATAGCTTTGAGAGCTGCATGGTCCGTGAATATGGTAAACGTGGCACCGAAAAGATATGGATGGAAGTATGTGAGGGCCCAAACAATAGCAAGACATTCCAATTCGGTGGCGCTGTAATTTTTCTCTGCCTTGGTAAGAGTACGGCTGGCGAAAGCAACTGGGCGTCCTGTTTGAGTCAAAACGGCACCAAGTCCAAAAGTGCTTGCATCTGTGTGTAGTTCATAAGGAAGCCGTGAGTTTGGATATGCAAGCGTTGGCAACTTAGATATTGTATCCTTGAGTGAAATAAAAGCATTCTGGCAGTCTTGTGTCCAATTGAACTTGGTATCCTTCTTGATTAACTTGTATAGTGGTCCTGCCACGGTGGAAAGGTTGCTGATGAACTTGTGATGGAATGCGCAAAAACCGAGAAATCGCTGTAATTCTTGTCGTGATTGGGGTGTGGGCCATCGTTGGATGGTGGCAATCTTTTGAGGATCCGATCGTATTCCTTGTTGGCTGACAATAAACCCAAGGTACTTGACTTCTGATTGAAAGAAGCGGCATTTCTTGAGAGAAATCTTAAGATTGTACTTGTGTAATCGATGCAGTACCTGATCCAAGTGTTGATGATGGGCTGAAACGTCCGAGCTGAAGACAATGATATCATCCAAGTAGACCATAGCATTGGATAGACCTTGTAGAACACCAAACATGAAGCGGGAAAATGTAGAGGGCCCATTGCAGACACCGAAAGGGAGTACGTTGAATTCGTATAAAGCATTATTGGCGATAAAAGCGGTCTTGCATCGATCAGCTGGGTGCACAGGAATTTGCCAATAGCCAGACTTCAAGTCGATGGTGGAAAAAATAGTGCTGCCAGAGAGTCTTTCAAGGAGATCATCAATATGCGGCAATGGAAACTTGTCTTTGCGTGTGATTCGATTCAGAGCTCGAAAATCGATACAAAAACGGAACGTATTGTCAGGCTTCTTGATGAGGATTACTGGTGAGCACCATGGGCTGTTGCTAGGGCGAATAACCTTGCGTTGCAACATGTCTTCAACTTCCTTGGCAATGTGGTCTTTTTCAATTGGTGCTCTTCTGTAGTCGCGGCTAATCACCGGATTCGCGTCTCCAGTGTCGATTCGATGTTGAAATGGCACGTTGGTAATAGTTTGTATTGGTGCGACTTGTGTCAGGCTTGGGTACTTGTTGAGTAATTGTTCGATCGTTGCTTGATGGGCTATGGCATTGTTGGTCATGACTTTGGTGATTGTACCCGTGCGTGGATGTAAAGTGATATCTTCTTTTGCCATCCAATCCATTCCTAAGATGATGTCTTCGTTTTGGCAGTCGACCACATACATGGTGCATTGGCTCGTGAAATCGTTGATGTTGAAATTGATGATTGCTATCTCTGTGGTCAATTGGGTGGATTGATTGCCGTATCGGATCGTTGTTGGTTTGCAAGGTTGTGTTGTAATGCCCATATTTTTCACAAGTTGTCGTTTGATTGAGCTGAGTGTTGACCCGGTATCGATGAGTGTACGATGTTCATTGTTGTTGCCTGCAATTTTGATGTTGTTGTAGAATCGAAGGGTGTTGTTGTTGTTGTTGGCTTCTTGGTTGTTGCTGGTATGCTGTTGAGTCGATTGTTGGCTGTCGCTGAGGTGTTCGAAGATGTTGGTCCAATCGCTTGTGTTGTCGCTGTTGTCGCTATTGTTGCTGGTTGTTGTGTGTTGTGCATTATTACGTGCTGATGGTTGGCAAGTCTTGCAATTTCGGGATATATGGCCATGGTGTCCACAATTGAAGCATTGTCTTGTCTCACGTCGATGTCTGCTATTGCTGCTGCGCTGTTGATTGTTGCTAGGCTGTTGGCTGTTGCTAGGCTGTTGGTTACTGTTGCGATGGCGACCGTATCGGGGGTGATGAAAACTTTTGCCGCGTTGATTGCTGTTTCGAAATGGGCGTGATGATTGTTGAGACCATTGTGCGTTTTGTGCTTCTGCTGGTTGTGCTGGATTTGTTGTAGTTGCTGTTGTTGTTTGCTGTTGTTGTTGCTGAAACCGGTGTATAGGTTGGTAACGTGAGTCCCGCACGCCCCATGGCATATTCGACTTCGTTACAAATCGCAATGGCCTCTGTGAGATTCTTGGCACCTCTCATGTAAATAGCTTCTTGAAGCTTCGGGTGTACTCGATCGCTGAAATAATCAAGCTGGAGTGCATCACTGTAAATCTCGGCTCTCATGAATAGATCACTTATTTTTGGTGCAAATTGACTCATCGGAGTGGAGCCTTGTCGTAGTGTCTTTAATTCAGCCAAAGCATTCCGAGTGGGTTGAGTCCCTCCTCCAAAATGATGTAGGAATGCTTGTTCAAATAACGCATGTCTTGAGCGTTTTTCATGTGCTAGTGACGCAAACCATTGGATGGCGTCGCCTTCCAGAGCAACATCGAGTTCTTCTAATCGTTCATCCTTGCCATATGCCAAGTAGTCGGATACACGATTAAACTTGTCAAGCCATTGTTGTGCCTCCTTTGGCGTTCCACTACTAAAAGTCGGAAGCTTGGTTCGTCGACGGCGTTCACGTATCTTGTTGTCCAGGGTAGAAGGTGTCGCATCATCCTGTGTCTTTTGTGTCGTGAACCGATACCACCGTTCACTCTTTATCATACAACGGTTGATCTATACCTTATTCAAGGTCACTTTATGTTCGGGTACAGGATCCACACATCCGAGTAGTTCACACACACAATAAGGAGATGGCACACATATGAGGGTAAGAGGTAACAAACAATGAATGTGGACTTGACTTTATCATAGAGAGAGCTCCTACGCCACTACACGCATGACTTACACAAATCAACCATTTGTACCACTCACGCACGGGTCCCATCATCACTGCGTATGCCAACTCATCCATATCCTGAATCAGGAAGCCACATCAACAACAGCCCAAATATCAATCCCTTATGCCATCATCCATCAAAGCTATAAATAAGCGCACGTAATCATTTGAAATAAAGAATTCAACCCATTATTGAGTCTCACTGTATTCTCTCGCCTCTTGTTACTATCATCTTTTATCACTTTATTTGTGCGCATTTCATTTTGTAGTCTTGGTGTGTGTAAAACATTGTCGTTGAGGGTTGTGGAAATCGTAGTCTTGGGCTGCTTAACTTGAAGT